GGGTACAGTACTCATAGCCGTACATGCCGTAGTCATTGGACCACTGACCTCTTATCCCTGCAAGGCCGGGACGGAGCACGCCAGGTTTTCACCGGGCCAGGCTCTCACATCAACAAGCGCGAACCGCCGTGAACGGAGGGGAGGGGGGGGGGGGCGTACTCACGATTTGCACACCTTAGTTGTCAAGACCATTGACCACGCGTCCTCGAGAAGACGGAGCATTGTTCCCACTGGACCGATCACCGATACGGGAGGGGTGTTCTTGTCGAGAGGAGGGAGACGAGCCACGACGACCCGACCTCATTTTTGCAACGACCACGTAAATTTAACATGACACGCCTCTTTTCCGTCCCCGCTGAAGAAATCATCGCCGCGCCAGCAGTGATCCATGTTGACCATTTGGTCGGGATCTACAGCATAGTCGGATTTGACAAGGTTGCTGCTATTTTTGGGCAAGTCTCGAGCAGAGCAGGAAGGCGGGGTTGGCCAGCATCTGTCGAAATCTGTCTAGACCGTACCCACCATCCAACAGAAGCAGGCGTTGGGTCAGCTCCACGGGTTCATCAACGGCATAAGGTCATATGTTATCGCTGATAAAGACAACGGCCAAACGTAACGATGAGTACCTCTCCCCGCGAATGCATGCCGCGTGTGCTGCACACGCTCTGACACGCGGAACTTTCCCAGGTCTGTTCCGCAGGGACCGGCCTGGGCTACGCGTACGCCCAAGGCCGGAGATCAGGTACGAATCTGTGTTGTTTTGTTTTCTGTGTCCACTATTTCCTGTTGACGTCCATGCCCAGCACGCGCTTCGATATGGTTGCTTGCCCTCCACGTCGTGCTCGAAAGAAACATGCCGCTGCTCCCTCCTCCCCGCGCCGCTGTTACTTGCCGGGTTGGGTTTTTGTTGTCTTGTCAGGTTGCCGCCAAGGTCGAGGACGAGGCGCTGTGGATCCTTGCCACGGTGGAAAAGCACAACGAGAAAAAGGGATTCTTCGTTGTGGTGGACGATGACGCCGGCGATGGCAAACGGAGGTGGGTGGATGTGTATTCAGCATCGACCGCGCTAACCGACTGATCAATGTCAATGAAGGACGTCACAGACTCTGTACAGCCTCTGTGCGCCTAAAAACATGTAAGTAAATGTTTCTAAAGGTCATGATCTGGGCGTGCGTCTGGCGCGTTTCTGTTATTGATAGCGCTAGCAGACTGGCCAATGAAAAAGACGCCAGTCTCTACAGCCCGCGCGTGTTTTTGTGCCTTTTGTTTAGAATCGGCCGCCTTAACCGGCTGACCAAGGAAAGTATATCAGTGTCAGCAGGTTGAATCAAGGTCCCCGGTAGTGTGTGTGTTTGGAAAATATCAACAGCTTGCATCGACCGCGCTAGCTAGTCTTTCCACCAATGACAAGACGCCAGTCTCGTACGTGTGACAAAAGGAAAGATGCGTTTCGTCCTCCACACGGTATTTGCGTGCGCGCGCATTTTCCTTCTGCGCCGCCCGCTCTAACACCAAGAGCTGTCGATCTCAGCCGGCAAGCAGTAGTGTGTGAGTTTCGTCATGTGTCGTAAACGCGCATAGGCCGCGAAATGTGCTTGAGCGCGAATGATTCGAATAGCGAGGCGAGTGCCAGCAACCAAGAGAACCGAAACGACAACGAGTAAATGATCGGAGATGACGTAAGCAAAGGGCAACCGAAGACTGATCAGTCCTTCATCCAGGCTGTTCCACACAAGTACCGAAAACATCCTCTCGTCTCGGCCCACGTCTCAGCCAAAAAAAATTGTCTTCCCGGCGGGTGTAAATTTGTTCTCGGATCACCAAGGTTCTTTGATCCACTTTCATCATGTCCCCTCCCAAAAACTATTTGTATTACAACAGTATATCGCCGGAGGTTCTTGTTATCCATTTTCGTTCGTCTCTCCGTCCAGCTGTTGTATGCTCTACCGCCTTTGGCTTTGTCTTCTGTCGCTCTTGTCCCCTTCCTAACGCCTCGGTCCCTTGGTTCAGGCAATTCAAGCTCAGGAGGAGCAACATACTGACGCTTCCGAGACCGGAGGAAGCCTCGGGCGCCATATTCCCGGTCGGCTCTCGGGTGATGACCCTCTATCCCCAGACCACCACCTTCTACCCGGCTACCATCAGCGGCCCCTTCGTCGAAGGCAGGGTGAGATTTTTTCCCCGCGGAGATTGTTGTTGGCTCTGTTCAGGGGTACCCACGTATACGCTTTCGTGCTCTCGCTCGTTGTCGCCCTTAGGTTGTTGGGTCTGGCACACGTTTGTCGTACATACACACGTATTTTGTTGTGTCGTGATCTTATTCATGTGTGACGTATTGTCCTCTGTGGACAACGCCCCGCCTAAAACACCTTGGCTTGCCACAAACGCCGCCGTACGCTCTCAAACGTATGTAGAGGGGCGGAGAGTAATAGAAAGAAAAGACGTTCCGCGGCCCGAAGTCCTCGGGGGTGTCCATGTTGTCCAAGGGTGTGGGGGTGGCATTTCATGCTGTCTAGGAAGCTTCGTGGCTCGAGCAGCACGCTTTAAGGGTATTCGTAGTAGACGAAACGGTATTTTCTGGTGGTTGTCGATACGGTGATTTTTTTGGGCTGTCGCATTGCTCTTCGCCTTGGTTCGAAACCGCTCTTCGGGACCAATGGGCATGCACAAGGGTATCGCTTGATGCTGGATGAGTCTAGCGGTATGTCATACGGCGCTTTGGCGTTGCACACCGGGACACGTGTATTTCTATATCTCAGCGGGAGTGCCGAGGCGGTGTTTGTTGCTCTATTTTTACGTCGATGACAAGCTTTGTGAAAGTGTGGCAACAGCGAACCGAACAACAATGAATACACCAACAGCACGAGCAAAAGCGTGGCCGGAATGCGTGCGTTGGAATTTTTTGTGAATGTGCCGGGGGGCGGCCGTAACTAAGCGAAAACATGCGCGTGGCGTTCAAAGCTTTTGTGCTTCACGTTTTTTTGTTTTCGTTCTTTTATGCGGGGTGGGTGTTTATGTGGTCACATAAAATATTACGACACGGTGGAGGTGGTACACGAGTGTTTGATGGTTGTTTTTTTGTAGGTGTTACTGGATGCTTGTCGCCATCCCTCCGCGACCTGAACCGGGAGGGGGTATGGGAGTTGCTTGGAAATCGGCGATTGTTAGTTGCCGCGGAAGTATTCAGAAAGCTGCGGGCTCCGCCGTGGTCGTGGGTTCTTGATCAACTTTGAATCGAGACGAAGGATGTGTTACCGGCTATAGGAGTAACTAGTACCGCACCATTGCACCATTACTTTGACGGTGCGAACATCTAGAGTGGGATAAGACAAAATAGAGGGATGGAGCAGGAAATAGGAGGGAAGGGGCACGAAACGTATCATGAAAACAAGGCAAATTGCAGGAAGAGGAGAGAGTGAGAGGGGGGGAGAGAATCAGAGACGAAAGGAACAGCGAAAGCCATACACGTGGAGAAACACAGAAGCGGGGAGTCGAAGCGAGCAATTAGTACCACGCCCATCAGTTGACCCGCCCTCTGTCCTTCCCATCTATTCCCCCCGCCACGGCCTGCGCTTAGGACGGCCGCATCGACTACTGCGTGTTGCAGTTCCAAGACGATGACCCTACTCCGGAGGGAGTCCTTCCTCATTGGACCCTACCCGCACATTTCGTGCGCCATCGAAGTTGACGGGGGACTTGTCCTGTCAACTTGTGTTAATTGTCGGTGGCGACTACAGTAGATCCCTCGTGTCACCGTAATTTTCAAGGTGCGCGACAACTTGTGTGTGGCTCGATGCCGACATCGAAGGAGAAAGGAACGTCCGCGGTCTAGCCCAAAACGCGTGTATAGCAAAGCTCGTGTATAGGATTGATGTGCCCCGACGGGCTGTTGTTGCTGTTGCCCTACTCGGGCGAGGAACTCTTCTAGGGCAAATCCGGGTTTTAGGTGGTTTATGTACACACACCATCCAGAAAAGAGAGGAGAACGACACCGTGTTCAACAATTGCCGATAATATTCTAAGAGGATTGGCGCCCTTGGCTGATGCAAGCCGCGTTCCCAGTGTACATGTACGCACACAACCCAAATAAGAAAGTAGTAAATATGCATGTTGCCTGCCTATAGCGTCAGCCCATAGCATCAGCCTCCTTCACGAGGAAAGCGACACGTGGATGATGATTGGAAGCGTAGCAGTGTGTTGAGACGTACAGTGGTATTTTTCATAAATAGGCTGAGAGTCGTCCCTCCATAACTNCTCCTAATTTTTGACGTGGGCCCTTTTTTTTTTCCCGTTACTTTTTCCCGTTCTCTTTTTTTTTCTTTTTGCAAGCGTGTTCCCCACCCCGGATCCCCACGTAAATGCACGTACCCTCCCGCCACTACCTTTAGCTATGGCTACCACCACATGATGTGTCCGGGTGGGTCTTTTTTGTACCTTTTCGCCGTCAAAATCCACCAATTTGAGCGGGGAAACTGGAGAACGCGTGGAAAAAACATGCGAAAAAGTCTTGAAATCGTCAACAAAAACGCGTGTCGCTCTACTCCCTCCACATCTTCGGCGTCGGGCGCCTGTGCGACTTGAACTTCTTGTACATCTTTTGACCCTCAGGCCCAAGTGCACGCGCGTTGAGGTACACGAGGGCATGCGTGTACGCCTTTTTGCAGTATCCCTGCACTACCGCAACCGCCTGTCTGTCCTTCTCCGGTCTAAAGCTCAACGGCACGTTCTTGCGCAACCCCTCGAACGAATACGTGCACTTCTTGCGTGTCCAGTCCTTCGCACGGCCCCAACAGAGCTCGATGGGGTTGCACTCGCAGTGATACTTGGGGAGCATCATGCAGACCCCCCCTTGCCGCCGGAGCAGCAGCACTAGACTAGATTCAACTTGCTTGAAGTCCTTTTGCTCTCCCAGAACATGCTCCATGCTCAAGATGGGGTCGTTCTTTTCGCCTTTGCCCCCCGTCTTCGTCATGCCCGCCCTCAGGAGGCCCCTTTCGAACAGGATCTGCCGCATACCCTTTAGCTTCCCCACATACTCCGCCGGTCTAAGATGCTGGGCGTAGAAGGGCGGGTCGTCCCCCCGCTGGAAAACCAAGTGCTGTGTGTCGCCGACTTTGAAGCCCGGGCACTCTTCCAGAATCGTCACGGCATCCATCGGCGCTAGCTCTTCTCCGTTCCTCATCTGACCGAACCCCACGTTCATGCCGCTTACCCTCGGCGCGCCGACCTCCAAGCAGTCATGGCAAGACGTCCAGTCGAATAGGCAAACCGGCTTGTATTCAGGGTAGAGGACTCCCACCATGTCCAGGACGTCGTTCATGTGGTCCAACATTTTGAGGCCAGTCCAGTACCCCTCCTTGTTCTTGCCGTATTCGAAGAGATGGTAGGACCAGGAGTTTCCGTCCTCGTCGACATGCAGCATGTCGATAGCCCGGTACTTCTCCTCTTTGACGTTCTCCCCTCGTCGAGCTGCAGCAGCTGACTCCCGGCAGCGCATCTTCCGGTTGCGGTTGGCCTGGTCTATCTGGGCCGGCGACGCCGAAAAGAAGCCCACGTTGTGGATGATCGTTCCTGACACCATGATGCCCTGGCCGGGTGACTTCTTCGTCACTACCCGCTGCTCCCGCCTGTACCACGCATACTTCTGATCGTCGTTGGCTGTTGCACGAAAAGAAAACGGAAGGCGGCCAAGGAAACCACAGTGAGCACACGCGCGAAATAACATAAAACGAAAGCATGTGGTCGGCAAACAGCAGTAACAATTAAAATCGCCCACATAGTTCCGCAACTTTACGAAAAAAAGTACTTGACTGCCCACTAACCTCGAAATATGCTCTCGTCCTGGTAAAGAAGCAAGGCCCTCTTCCCATCTGGGTATTTTTTCTTGCTCTGTACTCTGGCTTGCAGATCTTCTGGCAGATCCGCCAACGCTTGTTCTAGATCGTCGACACACACCCAGACACCACTAGAATCCGGCAAGCGGTCGGCCTCCGGCACTTGATGTACATCAATGTCCCAGTCAACCGCTTCTTCGTTCGTGACCGAAATCCACACTTCCATGTGGTCGCGAACCTTCCACAATTCCGGCAGGAACTCGTTGTTTCGGTAGTTGATGGTTTCCGGATCATCATGTCCATCGAAGTAGAGGCCGTTCTTGCCGCCGTGGTACTCGCACCCTAGCTTTTTCAGCCATGTCGTTGCTGTAGAAAGGGAGATGACACGCTTGGGAGGCTCGGGGGGCTTGCCGTCTTTTGCTTCTTGTTCTTCCAGCTGCACTCTCAACCCCTTGAATGGGTTGAAGTCTTCCGTCGCCAGCCCTTCCAGCTGGGGCATGATCTCCTCGTTGACAAACTTGCGGAAGTCTTCCGCCGTCTTGTTGGCTTCCCCGCTCAGTATTCCGCAGTTTACTAGCATCCACTGGTGAACCTTTTCCTTGACGCCTTCGTCGAGTTCCGGCAGAAATTTTCGATCGACGCAACCTCTCTCCGGCGTCTTGATGCCCCCGAGTGATATGAAGTCACGCTCCCACCCGTTCACCGTTTTAACGCTCCGCCGTGCCACGCGTGCGGCGATGTTGATTGCATCGTCACGGGCGACGTCATCGTTCTGGAGGGTGTAGAGATGGGTCAGCGTCATGGCTACCTGGACCACGTGTGCCAGCTGGTAGCTGGACAGGTCCGCTGCGCTGGCCTCCTGTGGGGCGGGTGGGGGAAACAGATAGAGCGGGGAAGAGATGGTGATGAATACACAGCTGTTGTGGACACAAACGACACGCCACAACATTTCTCATGCTTGTGGTATCATACAGTAGCAGTCAGTTTGTTGGATGCACAAGTTGCTACAGCAGTGTTGTACGAGAGGTGCGTTTGGACGGTGTCACAAGTGCAATGGCAGCAGCAGCTTGGTTCAGCAGCAGCTTGGTTCTCAAACCACCCAAAAAAAGTATAAGAAAACCAGAGTAACACACGGCAGAGGCGGAGGAAGAGCAGGTTCAAAAAAAGCAACAACAGCAGCAGTACATGTACCCGAAGCACTCACGTCTTCCTGTTCCGCTGCTCTGCTGATGGCGTTCGTTGCATTCTTCAGCAGGGAACTGAAGTAGTCCATGCTTTCTGCACGAAACTCGTACGCCGCCGCCTTACCCGCAGTTGCTTTGAGTTCTGCATCGCGTGCGAGCTTGATCTTCTTCCTCGCTTGGGACTTGCTGTAGGTTCCCTTCTTCAAGTACTTCTTCATCGCCTCCTCGGACCACTCAGGTTCAAACTCCTTCCACGCCTGCAGCGTTTCTTGCAGCTTCCCCGGGCTCAGGTTGAGTGCGTCCGGAAAGGCGTTCACGAGTTCCTCGCGCAGCTGCACAGCTCTTTCTCGCCGGGCTGCTTTTCCCAGTGCTCCTTTTGGCCGTCCGCTGCCCTCTCTTGCACCGCCACACCCTGCACTTCGCAATCTCTCCGCGCCGCCAGCGCCAGGTTCTCGTAGCGAACCAGGTGCAGGACAGGCCGATCTAACGGCCGGTATAACTCGCGGGGGTGGTGTCTGGACCGCTGCACGCTGGGAAGTCTTTCCAGCGAGGTCTAGCCATGTTTCTCTATTGATGCTTCCCAAAGCTCGGGACTCGGCGTCTCTGTTTCTGCCGCGTGCACACTTCGTGGTGATGGTGCTGCTGTACCACTGAAGTAACGGCTGACTGCTGTGCCTTGCCTTCAGACCAACGCGGTACTTCTTTTGAGCCGATCTGTGCATCTCGACGTCTCCGAGGTCATATTCAGCTGGCAGAGTTGCCCGCACAAGCTGCAGCAGTTCATGTTCAACCACCATGGTCCGTCGCAGATCTGGCAGCAACGGACACCCCGTCAAGTTTGAAAAATGTCTGCCCTCCGCAGACGCTCGGAGGTTCCAACCAAACGTTTTTAGAACCCATTTCTGGCGAGGATTCCAAAAATAGAACGTTTTTTTGCAACTTTTTTGTTTTTCACCGTCAACTTCGCATTTTACCTCCTCCGCCCCGTTTCCGCGAAAACTGTCCATCGAGGCTAACTCGAGCCCTTGATCATAGTTGCAGCCAAAAGAGTGCTTAAACGAAAGCTCTTGATCGTAGCTTTCATATGATATATAGTTTGCTGTGTGAATCGTCTGCGGAGTAGAGAAAAAAATCAGATACCCTCTCAGCCTATTTATGAAAAATACCACTGTATCATAAATGTTGGCTGTTTATCGATTGTCCCCGCCTAGTCATGGTTGCCGTTCCCCCTTCGGCGGGGGTTATGGTGAAACGATTGTTGCGGTCCATTTTTGTTTTTTGCTTGAAGAGCTCACGCTTGTGGTAGGATCGGGAGGGGGCTCTGGTCGAAACCTGTCCGTCCGCGGCAGGAGGCTGTTGATTAATGAAGCACGCCAGAGTAAAACAGCAAGCGGGCCGGGGGTAGTTCCCCGCCGGCCAGACTCTGCACCCGGCACAATCCAAAAATGCAGTTGTTTTCCTTCGTGTTTGACGTTGGAGATCTGTTTTGCGACTGCGGCACTTTTTCTGGTTGGAAAGTAATGGCTTCTGGTTTATCAAGCGAGAACCGGCGGCATGTAAAATGCTCTTCCGCGTCGTGGCCTTTCGCTCCAAACGACTTCTCGACACCGGATTGTGTGTGAAAAAGGATTTTTGTTCCGTTACAGGCGGTTGTCTCGAACGGACCATGTACTTTGTACGACGACATTATCGCCCGTTTACTTGGGCTGCTTCCAATTTTATCAAACGAAAGAGTGACCAGAACTCGATCCGCAGCACCGGTGTTGCCACACGACCGCCACAAGTTCGCTATTTACAGTCTCTAGCAAATTGTCGCTTCCGACCTCTACATTGCAACCCACCACACGCACGATGTACGATCATTGACCCCCCGCACGCGCGCCATACAAACAGTTCAAACTCCATGTTAAGTTTACCCCCGCGTCTTTTGTTCCACCTCTTGCTCTCCACACATTAACCCTTGGCTACATTCCATCCGGCGGCGGGATGGGCGCAATCATGGCCCGTGGCAACCCCAACTCTTCCTCTGCCCTGACGAACCCCATGTCTTCGTAGAAGCCGAACAGACCGCCGGTGCCGTTGTCCTCTACAACGATCAACGCGAACCGGAACCCCCGCCTGGCGAGGCTGCGCATCGCCTCCAGGAAAAGCCGCTTGCCCAAGCCCAGCCCCCGATACCGAGGGTCGACGAACACGTACTTGATCGGCGGCACCGTGACACCCACGAGCGGGGACACCTGCTGCCGTGCCGCCAGCGGCGAGTCCCCCGCGACGACCTGCTCCCTTCTTGCTGCCGCGGCGGCGTAGGACGTAGAAGAAGACCCGAACAGCTGTTGCAGCGCCGCGTCCATGCGGGGAGAGGCGCCCGCGGCGGTGCTCAGGCCCGCCTTCCCCACCTGTCGCCGCCGGGACCAAGGGAAACGCCTTCGAAGCACGGCTTTCAGAGTAACCTCGCCCGGCTTGTCGGCGCCGATAACCCCCCGCCGCCACAAAGAGGACACCCCCCCCCCNACCTGTCGCCGCCGGGACCAAGGGAAACGCCTTCGAAGCACGGCTTTCAGAGTAACCTCGCCCGGCTTGTCGGCGCCGATAACCCCCCGCCGCCACAAAGAGGACCCCCCCCCCCCGTCCTCGACGAGGTCAATCACCGGGCGCCCGGCAGAGTCCACGACGGGGACGTCCATGCCCGCCAACCCTTGGCGGTAGTACCGGTGTGCCAGGGTGGTGTTCATCCGTTGGAGGTAGTTGCTCCGCGGGGGGTCGACACCCGCGGGTGCTGTCCCGGCTTCCGAAGCTGCTGCCGCACCGCCCGCCGGCGGTGGATGCCTCCCGTCGGCCGCTTCGGCACCGAGGTCCGTCCCGCCGGCCACCCAAACCCGATCCAGGATGTCCTGATCTCTGATCCAAGGCGCGTCTATGTGCCACGCGGGCGAGCCCCATTGCCACCGAGCGGACCCCTCCGCCACCAACGGGTGTCGAATATTAGCGAACCCCCTCAGCAGCAGCGCCGGCGGGTGGTCTTGCCTAGGCCTTTCGCTGTTCCCGCTACTCGCCGGCGCGCCAGCCCCGTGAGGTATTCTCAAGGACGCGTGGCGAAGTTTTCCAGAGAATATGACCCCCGTCCCTTGGCCTCCTGGCCGAAAGCACTCCCCGCGCTGCTCCAAGCACACCGCCCAGGGGCACGGCAGGAGGGCGTCTTCGGTGCTTATGGCCACGGAGAACGTGAGTAGCGATCTACTCCGTCTGAAGTCGCTCGCCTCGATCGAGAGCTGCGGCTGCTGCCGCTGCCGCTGCCGCTGCTGCTGCTGAAGTTTCGCTGATGCTGCCGCTGCCCTGTCCACGGCTTCATGAAGTGTCCCTACTGACCGCCCTTGTCCTTCCCGCAGGACTTCGTCCCGCAGCCCGTCAACGTTCAACCCGACCTTGCACACGAACAACGCGTTCACGACGATACTACTCTCTTGGACGCCGTACAACCCGGCGACGCGCGCGCGGACCCTGTCTCCCGCCTTCCCGTCCCAGAGCGCGCGAGAGCGCGGAAGCTTCTCGAGACTGGTCCCCAAGGCGTGCTTCCCCAGGTCCCCGTCCCACGGCGTCCAATCGTCGACTTGAAGCGCTTCACGGACGATAGTGTTGCAGTCCCTGGGAGACATTAGCCCCCCCAGTCCGACGCGCATAAGGGGATTTCCGGCGGGGAGGCTTGTTGCGTCCGGGTAGGAGGGCTGCGTGCGCGACAACGCCCACGTTGATCGGGCGCGGGCGTAGAGCCGCCGTAGATTCCGTCGAGCTTTGCTGACCGTGTTAGCCTCGCCCGTCCGGTCGCGCTGCTGTAGCCACACGGTAGACATCTCCGACCTGGAGATAATCTTCACTACGCTCTGTGGGGAAGATGGTGGTCGTTGGAAGCGTGCGGCGCAATGGTGCATAGGGCGTCAACAACGGGTGGGTGACATCGGGCTTCATGTTCATCACTCGTCTGTTGAGAAGAATGTTGCTGAGAAAGTTGGGGGAAGCGTTGGACGGGGAGCAGGAAACCAATGGCTGGGGCTGGAGGGGCTCGAGCTTGTGCCTCGCGTCTTGCACACACATTGCGCTTGCGCAAAATCGCGGTATTCAATGTTTTCACCCTTCAGGATTAAAACAATCCACGCCGACAGCCAATACTTCTCGTTCTTCGAGGAGCATGTTACAAGGTCAGCAGGCTGCCGAGTGTCCTCCAGATATTCATTCACAGAATGAACATCCAACTGAAATGTTTGACTCTGATCACTACTACGCGAAGGTCAAATATTTGTTACACACATACTCCTGAAATATACCTCGATCTCGCGCTCGAGTACGCGTTGATCCGCCAACAGCGGCCCGTGCTCCTTCCCTGCTTCTCGCATGGTAGAGTCCATGGTGGGTCCCTTTGTGGGGTGGCGTGGAAGACATGCAGCAAAGGCATTGGGTGAGATTGGTGACTCTTGGTGGGGGTTTCAACGTGAACAACAATACGCGTTGCACCTGATGTCTGGCGCAGGCGGCGGCAACTTTGGTATTGTATGTATATAACTGTTATCAAGGCACGTGACACCCGTGAGGTTCGGGACGAGTACCTCTGTGTAACGCGGTTTTCCTACACCAAAGACCTAAACAGCTATATAAACAGCGAGACAAATAATTATAATTTCCGTGCAAGTGTAGACAGTGCGGGTGTGGCCGTACGCTCTCCACGCATGAAGAATAACCTGGCGCTCATGCGCTTCCTACGATGGTAACATATTGGTAGGTACTGTGGTGCACTGCTGCCTGGTGCATGATCGGCCCTGCTGCTGCTGTGTTGCATCATGAGTGCTGAATTTGGCGCATGATGACTGGATAGCAACATGGCACGGTACCCTGTGCCACCTATATTTGTGTGGCAGGTATTTGCCCCGAGCTTACCCCCTGGCCGATGCCGCAGATGTCCCAGCAACGGTCGCCGAGAGCAAGCCTTGCGCCGCCGCTGCCACCCTCCTCAAACCCCTCCATGTACGCGCTCGGCCCGCCATCTCGATGGTGCAAGACGAGATAATTCGAGCTGGTCAACGTGGCCACCGCGTTAGCGCCCAGCAGGCGGCGGGATCGCGTCGCCCCGAGCACGCGGTGCAGCTTCCCGTACACGGCAAGGGTGTTGGTGTCCCGCACGCCGCGTTCGAGCTCCAATACGACCGCTGTTGTTCTTGCTGCCGCTGCCACTGCTGCTGCTGCTGTCGCTGATGATGCTGATGGCGTTGTCATCGGTGCTTCGTCGTCGAAGATCGGTCCCAATCTACGGGCTTGCGACCGACGGTGCACCGCGGCCATTGGGCTGCCGCGACCGATCCTTCCAAGTCGTCGTCGACTGGCCGGTCCCCCCATGGCAGCGAACGCTACTGCTGGGGTAGATGCCCCGGCATCGCACCCATCATATGTCCCGTCACATCCCGGTGGTTCCACCCACCACCTGGTTTTCTCCACACCAGAGCAAGGATGCGAACACCAAGCAATCGACCGTGGCAGTGCATAGCAGGCATGCCGGTGTTGCAAGCGTACCGGGGATAGAAGAAAAGCTACGCCGACGGCGGCTGCTTTGCAGCGCATCCTTATTTGCTGTGTGCGAGATGCACTACTGTAGCTTCGCAGCATCAACATGAGGCAACGTGCGGCGCAACTTCGAAAAACGGATTCGCCCGACTGCCCACTGCCCACCCCCGACAAAAAAAAAAAATGTCGACCAAAGTCTAGCAACGTNGCCCGACTGCCCACTGCCCACCCCCGACAAAAAAAAAAAATGTCGACCAAAGTCTAGCAACGTGGTTCATCTGATAAGATGAACCAGAGGATGAAGCTCGAGATAAAGTAATGTGTTGTAAGAGCTACCTGTGTTTATACTGATGGTCCTCGAGCAACATAAACACACGGCAGCTGACATGCACATTCAGAACTACTACTTCCCCCTTTCACCCAAAAAGTGGTTCCCGCACCGCTCAGCAGCGGACTCCTAATTCCGTTCCTGCAATGGTGACAAAATCTTCCGTGCGGTGTGCGCGAAATTACTAGCACAGGTGCCGACGTAAAGTTCTCTTGCAGCATGGGAGTAGGTGGTCCCCGTAGACGCGCCCTATTTCTTGGACGTAATATCTACTTCTAGTATGAAAGTTAGCCTGTGACCACGGGAATCGACCCCGTCAACTGTTAGACTAGTACGCAGAGGAACGTGGGCAAAGAGAACGGAACGGTTTTCAATGTAAAGACACAAAAAGTTGGATGCCTCTTGACCTGAACGAAGGCGCGTGACTGGACTAACGCATTCATTCCTTAGTTGTGGAGGAACTCTACACACGTCTATATCTTTCGTTCAACAATACAATAGAGGCAGCAATGGAACAACCCTTCACCGACTCTACTTTGCGTCCAACGTTGTTGCTGTTCATTGAGGGTTCTCAGCCACCTTCGATGCTCCTACAGCAGCAGTGCACGAATTCTCCCAAGTTTGAAAATTCCAAAACTGTATGAATATGCATAACACACTTACCACATTCTTGTCTAGCCTTTCGCCCAACCATGCAGGACAAACAGGCAACTTTCTCTTTGCCGCTTTCTCCTCTCCAAATTCAAGTGGGCATGAATAAACAGAATCGGAGTAATCACGCGGCACACGTAAAAGACAGATTGCACACAAGACCTGTGTACGCAGTCATTGAACCAAGACAATCACAGACAATGTGTTACGCTACATAGACTACATGCGTTATCATACCTTGTCAGAAAACGACTTCGGATACCAACAGCATTCCTCCACAAAAAAATAGAACACCGCGAAATCACCGGTGACGAAGAGAGGGAGAGAGAGAGAGCTCCCTATTGCAACGAACGGAACCATGCCAACGAGTAATGCACACCGGACCAGCAGCGTGCTTCACCGCCCGTGCACAGTAGGGTACGGTGCGCACTGCCACTCTCTGCTTCCTACGCAACAGAGGTGGCACTCCTTCGCCGCTTACAGACAGACCCGTGTCCCCACCTCCAAGCGCCGCGCCATCATCACGCCTAGTCCCGCTTTACTACATCCTGTTGCAAGCGCTATTCCCCTGCCATCAGAGAAGTACTTATTCTGCGTTTCGGCCAACACGAAGTCGATCGGGCTGAACCAACCCCACACTGGTGCTGTGAATACGACAATAAACTCCAAGCTGCAGCCCCCCTTGACCAAGTCCATCCCCAACGTTGAAACACGATGAACGACGGTGGCCCGGGATCCTAACCACAGACACAAAAACACAACCTGACAAAACACACGGTATTGTACACAAAAAGAAGGCACACAAAAATGTAAAGAAAAAGAAGAAAACGTGCGTACACCTCGCAAGGACTAACGAGAAACGCTAAAAACAAACACACACGACAAAGAACAAGAAGCTCGATTTGAGGAAAGGAGCATCAGCCCCTTAACCCTCACGCTGATGCTGTGGATAGAAAGCCTCCGATACATGAGTAGATACTAAATCTTCCGAACCCATACTACGTGAGGTGGAAACAAGCTCAACTCCAAATGAGTTCACCATGTGGGAGACCACCCCCGACCGGTGAGAAGGCGCTCAGCCCCCCCCCCTCCGATTGCCTGTCCTGGAAACCCCGCCGCCGCAAGACTCGAAGCCCTCGCTCACACCGTTCCCTCCCAGCCAAGACAAGGCCCATCCCAGTCCTACCGCACCACAAGCACAGGCCATCACCAGACCCCTTCCGGCTTTCACCAGAGGAGAGGAGACGACAATCGATTGTTCAACCGCCGCAGGGGGGCGGCAACGCCCCCTAGAGAATTCCCTCCCACTCGAGGAAATTCCTGTCGCACGCGCAGCGGCGGCGTTCTTCAAGGCCTACCACGATCATCGTCGCCATCAGCAGCAGGACTGATGCTGGCCGAGGGGGTATACGGCAGTAGGTCGTGCTAACTCCGTGATGCCGCCCTTCGTCTCCCGTGAGAAAAACGACCCCGGATTGATACTCCCACCCCTTCGTGTGGCGGCCCTACGCGCGCTGGACGAAGAACCGACGTGTGACGGTCCTACCACGTAGCGGTGGCAGCAGCAGCGGTAGCAGCAGAGGAGGAGGGGGAGGAGAAGGAAAAATACTTCATACCGCACCACCCTCGATCTTATTGCTTCTCCTGAAACCGTCTAGGTCCCTTCTCCGTGAGAGCGGTTCCGCCGGTGCTATGGGCGCTCCGTCTCCGATTTGCTCGCCTTCTTCTGCGCCATCTTCGCCTCCACAAACTCATCCACCACCACGGGCCATGCGTCTGGACAACGGGGGGGAGTGCGGGGAGATAGAAGCGGGCAGGGGAGGGGTGTACTAACGTCTTGCATGCCTAGTTGTTAGATCATTTGACCACGCGTCCTATCATAAGAGAGGACGGAGCTTTGTTCCCACAGGACCGATAGCCGATGGCCAGTCGTTCCTTCCTACTTTGGGTGCGGAGTGGGTGGATGAAAACAAAGCTACTGCGTGGTATGGATTGGTCTTTGGCGATCGGTCGTACAAGACTGTCAGGATAGATAACAAAAAATTGATGTAAACCGGCGCGCGAGCTCAACACCCCGTCGATGGCTACACGAGTCTTCCGCACGGCGGTGTCTGTTGGCAATACGAGGGCGACGAAGCTCTCACCGAGATACCGCCCCGCCTCGCTTCTTCTGGCCCCTCCTTGCGTTGAGTCACACGCGGGAGAGAACGGCTGTGTCAGCCCTCGCCAGAGGGCGAACGCTATGATATTACGGGTCCTCCAGCAATGTATGTCCGAGGGGGGCTGGTTCAAACAGCCCGATCAACACTGCTGCTGCTGCTGCTGCTGTTGCTAAACACGACATGTTCGGCATATTCGATAATCTGGTCGGAACTGAATCGAGGCACCAACCTACATTATTGCCAAGAATCGGACGAAAGTGTACCGGTCGGCCCGGTGGACTAGTAGGTAGCCTCGCAGCCTGCTAAGGGCCAGGTCATCGGTTCGAGTTTCAACAGAGTGAGTTTGTTTTCGCTAATTAAATGTTTCCGTTAGAAGCGACGCGCTGCAAAGCTCGTTTTTAGTAAACTTGATCGACTTCATAAGTCGCGAGGGAAGGGGTTGCTGTACCCTTCTCGCGATAAAAATATCTCCGGGAGGAACCGCAGGAGGGGGTCCAACCCCCACCTCCAATGTGACCCCGGTTGGGTCGTCTAGCTGGTAGAAGTGGAGGATAGGGGCCAAAGGGGCAGACCACAGAGTCCAATGAACAAAAACAAAAACATACGTCCCGTTCTGACTACATAAAAAAAGCGACGGCATGCATCCCAGACAGAGGGTGGGACGCCTCGGGGGAGCGAGGAAGCCTTCTGTGAGCCTCCCGTTCTGGACAGAGTGGCCGTGGGAGCAAAGCAAAAAGATTGCTGGTGTATTTCGTAAAGGATACACAACATGAAAAAATATATATCTCCCTAGGAACCATCAGCGTCCAGCCGCCAAAACGTACACTGATCAACTTCAAAAACTCAAAATAAGCTTAGTTTCCAGTCGGTTTCAAACCACTAACTGAAAAGACTTCAACACATCCCTTTCGACTGAGGTATTTCGAACGGTTACTATTTCTGTGAGGTAATGCTTACTTTCTCAACAAGCAGAGACAAGGGGAGCAACTCACCACTCTCGTCGAAGTTGGAGAGGTCCGGGTCCACCTGGCAGAAGAACGCAAGCGTTTGAGCCCACATGTCCTTCGTTACCACCGGAACCTTGGCGCCCCGCAAGTACTCACTGAAGTCCTTGAGGAGGGGGAACTCAGGCCCTGTCAGGACGAGCTCCCACACGGACAGGCACACGTCTAGCTCGATCGACTTCTTCCCTCGCTCCCTGATGAAGGTCAAGGGGGCGGGGCGAACTCATACTTATAGCCGTGCATGCCGTAGTCGTTTGACCATTGACCTCGGGGGGGGGAGGGCAGGCAAACAATAAAAGTTCAGGGGAGGATGCCTACAGGAACGCCGATGGCATGAGAGAAGGTGGTGGCGGGGGAAGGAACTCTCGCCTCTGCACGCAAAAACTTGAATTCCCGTTGAATCTCTCCATGCATTCCAATGCTAGGGCAAGGTTTAGGAGGACATGCATTTACTGTTGCTTTTGTTTTTATATCTGGTTGTCTGCCCATCTGCCGCCTCTTTGTTCTGCTGGCTCCGTTGCTCCCATGCCCTGGTGCGTAGTGCCTGGTGCTGGTACGTTGCCCTTTGATTTTTTAGGCGGGTGTGGGAAGCGCCCTCCTGTATTTTTGTCTTTGTTTTATTTTGATCGGTTTCCGAGCGCTCTTTTCTCGACCGGTCGGTGCGGTAGCTGTTCCATTCTTTCGATCATTTTGCTTTCCTTTTCCGAGTGGTTTGTACCCTATTTTTGTTTTTGTTTCCCTGCGGCGTCATATGTGCCGGGTTTTGAGACCACGGACTCCCCATTTTGTGGATAATAGAGCTAATGTGAGAAACAACAACATAGCGTTGGGGTGACACGCTTCGATGGCACTGCTGCTGCTGCTGCTCCGAAAGCACCAGAGAAGGTGATACTTGCGAGCGGGAGCTTCGACGAACAAATTCAAGCAACCCAAGCGCGAAATTGCGACGACTCGCGGACACTACAAAGGAACGCTATCAACGCCCCGCCCCCACGCTTGTGGAGAAAAACAAGTGGGGCGATCAACAAGTATACAATAGGGAGCGAAGGCACACGCCTCACGTCTCGTTGCCAGCTTAAAAAATTATGAAAAGACACCGGAACGACATTAAGCACCACAAGAGGAGGATTCAAAACATGACAACGAATGAACAAGACTGTCTTAAGCTGTTGAGGACTGCTCTGCTTGGAAAAACAAGCATCCGGTCTAAGAGGGAAAACCAAAGCCACCGAAAACTCACGCGCTCTAAATCCAACCAGACACCAAGCCAGATAACAACCACCTTGTCACAACCTCAACATGTCGAAAGGAAAACTGCCGGAGGCTCACTTCGCGTATTCGAAGCAGAACATGTAAAACTCTCTGAAGGTCGCAGACCGCCTGTCGTCCACCTCCATTCTCAGGTCCTTCAGCTGCAACACATTTCACGATTGCGAGGAGACACATACAACGAGCGGAGGGGTCATGGAGGGTGTTGGGCGGTGCCATCCCGCTGACACCTCCAGGTGATAGACAAGGACTCCAAACCGCACGTGGTTGAAAACACAAAGGCGCTAACGTTCACATTCACACAGCAGTGGCACTTCTAAACGCCACGCATGTGAATATTTGCACGCCACACATCACCAGCTGATTCCTGCACCGCAAGCACCGCAAGCAAGAAGCAACATGCCACACCAGAAACGATAAAGAAAAAAACACAAACCATGAACAGCGCACGTGCGGCAAGGGCAACTCCATCACCCCATCACACCCCATCTTCAGGATTCCTAACGGAACTACAGAACGTGCAAATTTCAACGATCTACATGGTGTCCGACTTTCTAGTCTCGAAACCTTCTCTCACCCTCCCTCCTAACATCCCCGTGTTTTCGCTGCTGAATGTGTCCCCTCCTCGTTTCTGTCTCTGTCTCTATCCTTACCGCCTCCTCCTTCTCCCCGACGTTCTGTATATATCTCTCTCCCGTTCGCTCTACCACGCCCTCCCCCTCCCTGTCCCTTGCCTTTTGCCGCAGCTGGCGCGTGGAGGACACCCCCAGCTTGGACATACCCCGTCGCCACTCTTCCCTGGAGTAGACGCACATCTCCTCCGCCTCCATCTTCCACGAAACTATCAGCACCACCAGGTCCTGAAAAAAACGAAAAACAAAAAAGCCGACGGCATCGATTGGAACACGAACAGAGAATGCCAAGTCCACCAATGAGGGACTTGCGTCTCCTGAACCAACACGCCTCCTCACATTGTCTGTAATGATGCAACGTCAGCCGGAAAATCCCTCCGACTGGACCTATCTATGTCTTCTCTGCAATCAGTGAGGAGTTCACCAACAGTGAAATCTTTCATGGTGCTTTCGCCATCCTCGGACAGCAGGAGTGGTGTAGGCTTCAGGCACACGTGAAGCCCTTGAAGAAGGGGGTGCGTAGACGGAAGATTCAGCCGCGGGTGTGCTATGAACGGCCATCTCTCGCAGAACACCTGCACTTCAGGGTGTACTCAGGGTGTACTCGATAGTCGTGCATGCCGTAGTCGTTAGACCATTGACCTCGCATCCCTACAAAGCCGGGACGGAGCACGCCGGGTTCTCACCGGACCAGGCTCTCACATCACCAAGCGCGAAGCGCCGTGAGATATTCGGCGAGTCGCATGAAGGGTGCGCTGCATCCTGCTAAGGGTGTTCGGCATCTTGTGCTTAGTTCCTTGCATACGGATGACAGCTGCGTATGACTTAATTTATTTTCTGGTGCTTTCACTTCCAGAGACAGTTGTAAGCACTGTGTACTTGCCTCGAGGGTGCTTGACCATTTTAACACAACGTGGTGCGATCATCCCCCTTGCGTGGAGTGAGGGTTCTCCACCCCGCACAACATGATCTACTCGACCACCATTGTGGTTACCGCCAGAAAAAGAAAACAAAGGTAAAAAAAAACGGTATCCTGGTTGCCGAGTTCACGAAGTGAATGAGCTTGTTTTACAACGTCGTTGCTAAGCGACGAAAACCCAACCCCGATGGCGAACACCGGGGGGGGGTTGTGCAGGGGACTGAATAAATCACAAAGCAAGCAATTGCTGTGATCGCATGTTGTCTGAGGTGCCTAGAAAAAATTTACACTTGCCATTCAAGAACCTCACCGAACAGGTACAAGCATCGCGCCTCAAAAACCAAGATAATATGGTATGTGTGTCTCGTAAAAAATGAGCATCGACAGCGCTAACTGGCTGAAAAGTGTGCGTATGCTGTATCGTCCATCGCGGGTAGCACATGGCCCCTATTCTTGAAACCCTTGCCTGGGTATCGACGCCGAGCTCGGTGTAAAACTGCTGAATACCATCGTCCAGGATTGAGTCCTTCTCGTCCGCGTCCGCGTAGCGATCAAACCTGCACCCCGACACATATACAAAAGTGCCACATAAAACGGTGCCGACACGGAGAGAAGGTTGCGACATAGTAGAACGGACATGGAGGGTCTGGGAGCGGACTTATTTTCAGTGAAACGACAGCTATAGACTTCAACCATCAGCAGGCGTGCGAGAGGCATGGACGGCAACGGTAACGATGATGACAGCACAATGCCAACAGCAAGCAACACTACAGTAACGATAAGAACATCAACAACAACAACAACAACAACAACAACAACAACCAGACGAGTAGGCCAACAGCAAGAATCAAGAAGAAAATCAATGTCCGAACCAACGAGGCACCAGGCCACCGAAACGCATCTTCCCGATGATGTCCTCTCCCCTCTCACCATGCGTCCAGCTTGTGCTGGTCGACAGCCGGAGGCGCCGGCGGCATCGGCATCGAGGCGGCCACAAGCTGGGCAATGTCCACGTCCCCGGAAAAAAAGGCATCCGCTGCCTCCTGAACCAGAGGGTGTGCGGGGAGGGGGGCAGCAGCTTGTAGGAGAAATGATGCTTCGCTAAAGGTTGTAAGATGATATGGCGATCAGCACGCTGAGGGTGCAAGAGTGTATGTAACATACCGTGATTGGTTGTAACGTCGAACTCAACAGGCACCGACGTTGTTGTTGGTCTTGTATTCGAATGTTAACTCGTCCTGACCTCTACCCACCACCGCAGAATGTAGCGGTGGTACTTCAAAGCTTCACAGAGTGAAACATGAAGTTTGAAGAATGAAAGCAAACTTTCTAAAAAAACTCAGTTTACCCCACAGTAGTGGAGCTTTAACTTTGGTGACTGAACCGGAGGTATCTACATATTGATGAGCATGTCCATCGAACATGTCCATCTTTAAGCATACTTTGATGGAAACCACGGAGTCGCTACGCTCGCTGTAGACTCTTTCTTTGTACGTGGGTTGTGCTCTGCTCGCCCGCTGCTCATGTGCGCGATGCATACACCACATGTGGTTGCCTGCCATGGTGAAGCTGTCGCATGTAGACTACATCTGTATCTAAAAAACAAAACTTTGTAGGCCATAGTTGTCGTAGCATAGTAGTAGTAGTGGTGGTAGCAGTAGTAGTAGCAGTGTAGTAGCAGTAGCAGTAGTAGTAGTGGTAGCAGTAGGAGTAGCAGTGGTGGTAGCAGTAGTAGTAGTAGTAGTAGTAGCAGTAGTAGTAGTAGCAGTAGTAGTAGTAGTAGTAGTAGTAGTAGTAGTAGTCCCGTTAAAAAACGCGCTGTTGGTTGTTTCAGCCTCCGGCTCTTTCGCGAGAAGGGAGACCAAGGCACACAAGATGCTGCGCGCCGTGTCTCGCGCCCAGCGCGGCCGCGATCGTCGCGCGGTGAGCGTGAGGAGGTGGCGGCGCAACCGGCTGCGGTAGACCAAAAAAAAGGTCAAATCGGTTTTGGGGGTGCTGCTGCTGTGTGCTGCTGCTGCTGTGCTGCTGTGTGGTCTGTTTTAGAACAACCTCACGGCTACCTATCACTCCAGTGCCTTTCCCTTTTGCGTCGAGGGAGACCGAGGCACAAAAGACACTGCCCGCCGCGTCTCGCGCCCGGCGCGGCCGCGGTATACAAAAAAGGTGAAATCGATTTTTGGAGAGCGCTGCTACTGTGCTGCTGTGAGGTCTGTTTGAGAACAACCTCACAGCTACAATTCCAGTGCCTTCCTTTCGCGTAGAGGAAGACCGAGGCACAACAGGTGCTGCACGCCGCGTCTCGCGCCCAGCGCGGCCGCGGTCGTGGCGCGGTGAGAGTGGCGAGGTGGCGGCACGACTGTTTCTTTGCGGCACAGAAAAAAAGAGGTCAAATCGGTTCTTGGGGTCCCTAATAGAACATCCTCTCGGCTACCAATCTATCGCTCTCCTTTCGCGCGGAGGGAGACCGAGGCACGCAAGGTGTGGCACGCCATGTCTCGCGCCCAGAGCTGCCTCGGTTGTGGTCCAAGAGTGCTCCAGCAGCAGCAGTCAGAAGGTGGGAGGCACACTCCACTCTCCGCGAAAAAAAAAAAAAATGCATCCATCCGCGAAATGTGTACGTATGTATATATATATATATTTGCAACGTATGCACAGCAGTTGACAGAAAGGTGCTATCATACGAAGCAGCGTGTTCTGTCTCTCTGCCTGTGTGTTCTGAATTATCTCTTGCCCTGTACGTAATACTGCTTAGGTTGTAGGCTACAGTACTTGCTGTAAGTCCCTTCTTCCAAAATAAATGGGTTGTGTGTGTGTGTCTTCCCGACGGATTCCCTCTACAGGCGTGTATTTATTCCTGCCAAATCATAGAGAGATTTCACACAGCAGTTCAACAACATAACAGCAGAGCCACGAGACCGCGTTGGCTAGACTACACAACAAGAGTTCATGTTTTGAAAACTAACAAGATGCGCCGAAAGATCTGCAGGCAATTAATTGATGCAGGAAGGAATCCGTTCTCTCGTCTCTACCTGCCAACTACACAGCACCTCATGCCTCCCACAAAATACGATAGATGGAAAGATATCGCACAGCAGTAACAACAACAACAGCCCCGGCTAGGCCGTTTCCGGCTAAAAGCAAGGAAAAGAGTCAGGATGGATGCGCTGTTCATTGTGTTGAAAAGTAATTCGGGACATACCCAAATACATGTAGTGCATACTATGCGGGGTATTCTTGCCGTGAAAACAGAAAAAAAGTATTTCATCGGGAAGAACGACCCATGATAGATCTCGGCCCCTTTCTGTGTGCAGCACACGACTCGCGCATCATTGGTGGGTAGATCGAAGTCATACAGCAGTAACAAGAACGAACGGCAGACCTGGCTACGTTATTATTTGACTTTACACTAAAGAAGAGTCGAGGATGCGGTGTTGTTCTTGCCGTGAATCACGAAAAGATTTCATCGGGAAGAAAGGCCCATCCATCCGTCTGGCATTCTTTTCAAACAATCTTCATCCCGTCGCTGCCGTGGCGCGGTCGGTCGGTCGGTCGGTCGGGTAGGGTTACGTTTTGGGTTGGGTTGGGTTGGGTGGGGTAAGGTGGATTTGGTCGGTCGGTCGGTCGGGTTGTGTTTTGGGGTCGGGTTGGGGTTGGGTTGGAGGTAGGGTGGTTTGGGTCGATGGGTCGGTGGGTCGGTCGGTCCGGCGGGTTGGGGTTGAGTTGTGTTTTGGGTTCCGTTGGGTGGGGTACTATGGTAGGGTAGCGTAGAGTAGGGTGGGGTCGGTCGGTCGGTCCGTCGGCTGGTGGGTTGTGTTTTGGGGTCGGGTTGATGGGTTTGCTTTTTTGGGTTGGGTTGAGTAGGGTAGGGTAGAAGGTAGGGTGGGTTTGGTCGGTTGGTTGGTAGGGTTATCTCTTGGGGTCGGATTGGGTTGGGTTGGGGGTAGCGTGGGTTGGTTCGGTCGGTCGGTTCGGTCGGTCGGTTGGTCAATTGGGTTTGGGTTGGGTTTTGGGTTGTGGGTTGGATTGGGCAGGGTAGCGTAGCGTACGGTATAGGGTTGGGTCAGTTGGGAGTTGCGTTGGGTAGGGTGGGTTTGGTCGGTCGGTTGGTCGGTCGGTCGGTTGGTCGGGTCGTGTTTTGGGATCGGGTTGGGTTGGGTTGGGGGTAGGGTGGTTGTGGGCCGGTCCGTCGGTCGGTCGGTCGGTTGGTTGGGGTGTGTTTTATTGTCGGATTGGGTTGGATTAGCTGTAGGGTGGGTGAAGTCGGTCGGTCGGTTCGGTCGGTCGGTCGGTCGGTCGGTCGGTCGGTCGATCGGGGGGTCTGATTCGTACGGACTTCTTAGTGGTCGCTCGGCTTCTCCTGTACGTCACTGCCTCACTTCTATCAACAACATATTTCTAGCGAGGTATTACGGAGTTTGCGAACATCGGAATTCGATTTGATTTCGATCTTTATTATCCACCCGAGCGCCGAAGACCGCTGGATCTTTAGGAATTTGAACTTTCGCTGTTACGAATTGCCCTCAAAGACCGCAGAAAAGGTCAAATTCCATCTTGCTCGCATCTATCTTTTTGGGAACAGTTTCTGGTTGGCCTATACTCCCCGAGATACTCCCGACGTTGTCCGGCCAGATGCCGCACCAGCCCGTGAGGCTAGCTATGCACCCACACCTCGGCCGTGATACACACTACCATGGCGAGCCAGCTACAGTACCGCAAGACAGTTAGACAGTCGTCACTGCACGCCAGAGCCGGTGCAATGCATGCTGCCGATATGGTGCATTTACGCCATTTGAACCGCAGCATACCGTTCTACATGCTCTTGAGTGACACACCAAGTCGGCGTGGCGAGGATGACGGCGATGCTGCGAGCGGCATAGATCTTAGGAGTGCTGGACAGGCGGAGGCGGAAGTGATGGAGTTAGGGATGCTTCAAGCGGCGTGGGAGCGTGAGGAGCTGCTGCGCGTGCGTCCTGTGGACCGTGCTCCGGTGATGCGTCTGTCGCGGACGATCGACTCCGTTCAGACTGCGACGCGTATCACTAAACCGTGCGGCAGCGGTAGGAGGAGGAGGAGGTCCTTGGCCTTCGTGCTGTGTGTTCACCGAAACTCTGGCGAGGGGAGCGGCCCTCGCCGGAGGACTCGTGTTACCATGAACACCCGGCAACTGAACCGGGCCAGCCTTCTCATGAGTACGTTGACCTCCATCGTTCTCCATGATTGTTTAGCAGCGGTTGTGAGTGTAATGTGGTGGTAGCCTTGCGGTGGGAGTGGAGGCGGAAGGTCAGATGTAGGTTGTGCTGAGCGGGACCACGTCTGCTGCCGAAAAGGGGGCTCCGCCGTAGTAAAACATTGCGTTCCTGGAAATTTCTGCGTGATCAAGACCACAAACATTTCACTCGCATCTTGGCAAGCTGTTTTCTTTTTTTTATTTTTGAAATCAACTTTTGATCTCATCTCGAACTTCCTCGCAACTTCGAAGATGAAATCCCAACACCAGTCCCCAAACACCCTATTTATCACCCATCATCCTCGTCTTCAGTAAACGAAACTTCACCCGACCGTGTCCGGTTTGGTTGAATTGGTCGGGTCGGGTCGGGTCGGGTTAGGTTTCGCCGGGTTGGGTTGGGTTGGGTTGGGTTGGGTCGGGTCGGGTCGGGGTTGGGGTTGGGTCGCCACCCGTCGATCGCGCCGCCGTCGCTCCGTCGATCACCGCCGTCGATCGCCCTTGTAAAGAAGTACTTGTGCATCGATTCTGGTTCTCTGTTTTCTCATTTCTCGTCCTACTTGTGCATCTGTACGAGAACTCTACCTGGTACAGTTACGGTTTCGAGTTTTTGTTCATAGGTACACAACGAATTCATCTCTAACAACTTTATCCACAGATAGAGTCCGGGATGAATTAGCAATGGAACCACAGCGTTAGCGGACACAGCAGTACATGTCGATTTCTGGGAGTTATTCCTCGAGTAGCAAAGACTGCTGTACATAAAACAACGCTGCTGTTTGAAAAAAAGCCATCGCAGTCTTCTTACCGCCATGTTCCAATTGAACTTCCCGAGAAGAGCGATGCTTTCCACCTCCGTCGCTCCCACAAACAAGCAGAGCTCGTTGACCGTAGATCGCCGTGACGCGCTGAGGTCCCTCATGGTTGGCATCGCTCCCATGCACGCTTGTGCATGTCAGCCACAGCCAGGCCGACAAACCAAAAGTCACAGAGAGTCGTGCTACGGGGGGCACACAATGCAGAATGGATAGGGATATAAATCGCTAGCTGCGTTCCCCCTCCTCCGCAGGTATTGTGGGCACGCAACACAGTATCGGCGGCTAGCTGTAGCTCTCTCTGCCGGCCTCCCTCTTCTATGATGATCTACAGCAGCTTCAGGTGATAATCCAAGGGTTGACAAGCGTCCGCTCCGTACCACCCATTCACGCAAAGCGTTAACTTTGTACCTCACCAATGCACTGGCTCTCTCGCGTCCTTTGGCATCAGTCACAGACGGGCGACCTCACTCGGATCCCCCCGCCGACCTTTGTTTGCTGCCCTTGGCCTTGGGTTGCCACACACCAGATACTCGGCACGGGTGGGGGGTCGGCGAGCGATGTGCCCGGCTGCTCTAACAACAGTGGGGTGCAGACAGCAGCAGCCGCCAGGTGGAAGCCGAGCGTCAGCAGCTTTCAGCAACAGGCCCGCTGCGCAGCGCCGCACGCTCAGCGGCAGCGTTCGTGACATCGGCATGGGATCATCGCCAAGGTTCATGTCCAAGCACCCAGGGTTTGGCAGCAGCAATCACTCGATTCACCATGGAGTTGAAAAGGTGCGCCATGTACCATGTACTTCGTATATGGTAGATGCACGATTTACTGGCTGTACGCTACGTACGTTTCGGCCGTCACGTACTTTAGGTTTTGAATCTTCTCGAAAGTCTCCGTTTCAACGGGCGTGTGACTCAGCCATCTTCACGTCTTCATCCTACCTTGTGCGCATGTCAATTTGACGATGGATTGACCCGGGAGTTTTTTTTTCTTGGTGGATTAGTATGGTCTGCAAAAATGTCGCGTGTGGAGTTTGCGCAAAAAGTGGGCGTGAACTTCACCGGCGGGTGTGTGTAGTCTACGCTTGCTGGGGCGCACGCCCCGATCTTTGTGACTCAGCCAACGCTCGACCAGCAGCAGTTTATTGTTTGTTGCCCGTGGACATGAACAGAATTGCACCCTGTCCCAATGTGCTGTGGCGAAGCTCCATGCGCATGCCCAGTCGGTTGTTGCTATGTGCGGTTTATGTGTGACCCTCCCCCGAGCGAAAACTGGGTGCAAGCAGTTTCGTCCACCTGCTGCTGCAAAGCAGCCACCACAAATCTTGGCAGATCTGACACCTTTTTTGCCAAGTACGAAATGGCCGTCAGGTTGTATTTGTGACCTCTCCTACAACCTCCGTACTCAAAGACCACATTTTCCCGCTGAGCGTAAGTTCCTCCCGTCTCCCCTCCCACAGGATACGCCGCCTCCACCACCAAAAACAGCACCACCAGCCACAACGACAGCAATTGCCGCCAAGGCTTCGACGCTGGCGGACAGGTGGAAGGCAGCCAGAACCAAGGTCACCGCGGAGTACCTGAAGCGATTCATGAAGAAGTACGGCCGCGTGGCCGCCACGTTCCACATCTCCGTCTTTCTCGGCACCCTCGGCACCTGCTACTGCCTGGTCGACTACGGCGGCCTCGACATCGCGGAGCTCGTCAAGGACGTGCCCATCCTCGCGGACAACCTTCCTCCCGCCGGCGCCGGCAACCTGGCCATAGCGTACGGGATGACCAGCGCGATCGGTCCCCCCCGGGCGGTGTTGACCGTGACGGTGACGCCGCGGATAGCCAGGTTCTTGGCGGGGCGAGAGGAGCGGAGAAAGGCGAGGGAGGGGGGGGCGACGCCTAATTGAAGAGGCGTTATGTCGACTGTGCTGCTGGCGAGCTTTGGAAAGTGGTCCATCTTCTAGTGATTTGTCCCTCTCTCTCTTTAAGTAGCGAGTTCGTTTGACGATAGGTGCGCACCGTCGTGGTGTTCGCCTGGAGTGGTTTCTCTTGTTATAGTGGTTAAAACTATTTCCGGGTTGGCATTTGTCGGGCTCGTTGCAGGCGTGTATTGCAACAGTGTACAATGTTTGAGGGCTCCAACGATTGGCGTCGTGGTGATGAAACTCGGGTCGGGCGCAGGCCTCGCGCCACGCCCTTTTGTTTTTTTTCAAGTACATACCAAGTTTATGTTACAGTTAAAGTTCGTTGTTCGCCAAGATACGAGCTCTAGACAACCATGAATGTCTCGTCAGACTTGGAGTTGGTCGTGTAGCAAGCAGCTTTGCCCAACCAGTTGTTCAGAACATAATGTCCATCTGTTGTATTTCCGCTCTTTTAACCTGTTGAACAAAAATAGACTTCAACGAGCGATTGTTTGAGTACGGTTGTATCTTTTGTTTGGGTAAGACCTCGCTGTGACGTTGATTAATTTTGGACGAGCTCTACTCGATGTGCTGCCTATTGTGGTATATTTTCACGTTGTGTATTTGCATTGTTGATTATCAGCGCCCACTGGTCTCTCCCTGAGCAGCTTCTACCTTCCAGTCGGTGGCCTGTGTAAATGTTTCCGGCAGCAGTCACTGCAATATGATACACTTAAGGGCCTCACACCCAAGGGTTGTTTTTGATAAGACTGGGTCTTCAATTTCCCCGCTGAAGTGGACAACGGTTCTCGTCCGGGTGCATGCAGTCAGACTAGTTCCTGGCAGGTTTTGAGACGAGCTGAGGGAAGCACGCCAAAACCGAAGGCCAATGCCCAAGTGGGAGTTCTCGCCTCAAGTTGTAACTAGTGGTAGCTGATCCCAGCGCTTCAGCACGCATGTACCGGAAGAAGCTCGATTGTGACATGTGACCCGAACGGCAGTAGATCCGCTTTCTGCGTGCATCGAGTTGGTGAGAGAGTCGAACTGATCGGTTATAGTCTCCCATCTCAGAGAGTTAAGCCACGCGGCTGGTGTTGATTTGGTGCTGCTGAGCAACCACGTGTTGGGCTGGCACATTCCAGTCCATAGACGCGTGCGGAACCCTACAGCCTATCACAGTGAAGTGGATGTTTTCTCTTGGAGCTAACGTCGGGAGGCGGAGGGACATGTAGGCTCACACACCGCAATGTTTGTCGCCAGGACAGGACAGGCCCAACTGCTGAAAGCACCAAATATTCATGAGGCGGTGAATTTGCTGGACAACAGGGACAGAGGTGCAACAGCCACCGACCGTCGAACGATGATGTTCGAAAGGACCTTGTTCCATCGGTCAAACCGGAGCTGTAAATCGTGGACCGGTAGCTTGAGCATCGAGACGAGACGTCGACGGGTCTGGATCCCCCCAAGCAGTGATATGTTATCCATGAAAACTTCGGGCGTACCGTATGTTGCATGGGATGAACACCTCCTGAACCGATCGAAAACATTGATGACATTCCTTGCGTTGCCCATTTAAGGTATGTACCAGTTTCTCACACCCGCGAGGTGGCAGTGCTGTGCGATGTGTGTGTCGTGTCGAACGGAACACCTTTTGGCTCAGCGCGCGTAGTCGATACAACTCGCCCCGTCGATGCCTTGTGCCAAGGTCATACGATCCTTCCTCGTCACCCACGACACACACACAGCAGGAAATACCCGTGCTACATCAAACCGAACGGTGGGTGTGCCCGCCCCGTCGCCACCCTTAACTTATCTCCTGAGGAGGCGGCGATCACACGGCGCCTTCAGAGCTTCAGAGTCTGGTTCGCCCCGCCCCTCGACGGCCTGTTTTATCACACTCGGGAGGTGGACGTTTCTTTTTGGCCCAAAAGTGCGCTGAACACAGGAGGACCCGCCGGCATATGGGGACACACCGAGTACCAAACAGTTGGAAAATAGCACGCAGCGGGCGAGTTTCTGCAAATAATAGCCTTGAGTGCCATAATTTATCTAACCTGTTGCTACTATCGACACATCCTCTCTGTCCTACGTACATACGGAGCACCGACACTTGATGGCAGGAAATGAGGCACCTCATCCGTCCACTGATTGGAATGGACGAGGCCATCGTCACGAAGTCAACCTGATTTCCATTCACAAAATAACAAACCACCACCTGGTGCACGCCTACACACAAGGAGCCTTGTCTAGCACCGCAGCGAAACTCTTCAGACGACAGTGTCGTGAGGTGGATTGCGCTTTGCACAACACGACAAGCAGCATGAGCTATACAGATTATCCCAGTCCGCTGTCACCATCGCTCTCGCGTGTATTTTTCGAGACCTCAGCACTCCCGGTGGAGCCGGCACAACGTACAGTAGACATGCGCACAAACGCTAACGTACGGATCACGACCATACTGATTGAACCACTCAAGTACCATCAACGGAACTTCGAAGGAAAAGAATGATATCCCCCTTGTTCATATCACAAGCAGTCTAGCCCCCGAAGACAACTCATCTGTTGTTCTTGTGCATAAAAATGCGCTTCTTAGCTGGTGGGCTGCTTCCACTGCACGACGCCCGTCTTACTGTTATGAAAGTACTCCCACCCTTCGGGCGAGGTAAACGACGTCCAGTTTGGGGGGAGACCGCCGCTCCCTCTTGATCCCGTAGCCCCCGCCGTTCTCACTCCACTGCAAGCAGTACCGTTCACAACCCCTCCGACCGCAATAGAGTCTCTTCTCTGAACAAGGTCCTCGTTGTTGTCGTCATACTCCATGTAGCCATCTCGCCATTCTTCTCCCTCTGTTGATTGCTCCTGCCGGGGGTACCGATGCTCGGATGGTGAACGTCTGCCCCCGCGCCGCCGACCTATTCCTTGGCGGTTGTCGGAAAAGCCAATACCAGCAGAGCGATTGCCTCTGCCATCCCACTCAACCCCCACTCGGGGGACCCCCCCAGCCGCCGCAGGCGCTGACGGGGAAAGCCACCCCCCCTGGCCAGCGACGGTCTGAGCCTGCTGCAGCCGACCTATCCCTTGGGGACGGCTGGAAAATCCATCATCATCATCCGTCCCAACAGAGCTATCGCCGCTTCCATCCCACTCGGCCTCTTCATCGGAGGCCCCTCCCGCCGTCGCGGGCGGCGGCGGCGGCGAAAGCCACCCCCCATCGTGGACGATGGTCTTCGCCTGCTGCCTCGAGCGCCCGCGTTTCCCGGCGGGCAGCCCACCTCGCAGCAGCCCTGTGTACACCGCACCTTTACCGCTCTTTGACACGCCATCGCGATTCTTGGCCCCAACGTCTTCCGCGTGACTCCACGGTCCCTCCCTGCTTGAAGTTTCCGCCGGGGGCGAGAGAGGCGACCCCCTATTGGCTATGGCTTCGGCGGCCTGCCGGTATCTTGACCGTCCCCGGATCCTTGCCTGCAGCTCGGGGACAAACGTGCAGCCGACCAGCTCTTGCGCGAGAAGGACTTCGCGGACCGAGGCTCGTCTGTGTGGCGCAGTTCAGAGATCGGGTAGACGTAGAAAAAAAATCAGGTTTGTGCGGGAGTCTTGGGTATGAAACGTGGTGATGGTGGGAGAGAAGAGGGTGGTTGTGATATAAAATATAATCTGACACCGAGATTTCAGAGTAGGATTCGTTGACAACGGTTCCGAAAGCCGCCTTGGCCAACTTCGTGTACTCAATCATCCGCGGGGATACTACTCTTCCCAGCAGAACTCATACGCAAGCAGCCCCACCCTCGATGAACACTCGACACGCGGTCCTCGGTTCCCACGCGTCCCACCTGCTATCCCTTCTCTTTGCGTACTCGGTCGTCCTCTCGTAGATGTCCCCACCTCGACCATGCTCCGGGCTTTCACTTGCCGAAGACCGTCGAGACGCGCGCCTGGCGACGAAGCTTTGGTTTTCCTTGTCTTGCTCGACCGACTGCGACCGCCGGCGCTCTAGGAGCTCCACCTCTCGGTCTTTGGCTCTTTGCTGCATGGATGGGATAGCGTCTCGTCCGTACCTGAAAAACAATCACCAAACCACAGCAGTAGCGATCGAGTGTTCAAGGCAATGATGCGCAACAACAACGTGTACCAAAACGGAAGCTCGGAGGTACCAGGACAGGCGAAGCCTGTTTCATCAACATCTGTTGATTGGCCTCAAGCCGAGTGCTGCTGGATAAGCACGGCTGTCCTGGCTGACAATGTGAAGAGATGGTAAAGCCGTTTTATTGGTCGTCGTCGTAGACACAAGCAATGGAAGAGAGTGGGCACCAGGGTGCATCACAAACACCGAGGCACGCGAGCAACAGTCGCAAGACACATTCGGAACTCGGAACACATGACAGCACGGAACGCGTGACAACTTGCCAAAGATACCACTACCGGAGATACCCCGAAGATCCAAATGACCGATGGACGGCCACGTACTTGCGCACTGACAAAGCTCAAAACCACACATGAGTATTGCCGCAGTAGCCTTCGTAAGGATGGCATAATCCACCTCACGAACAACATCAACCCACCTAACATAGTTGTACCACACGTTTTCAAGATGCGGTATTACCAGGAAGAAGCCACGCAGAGCGAAGGAGCTTCGTCTCACGCCCAACACAGTATCAGCTCGAACTTTGGACGTTTCGTTCTTCAGACTCATTGCACAATCGCAGCAGACAATTGGGTCTCACCTAGATTCCAGCATCTTTTGAGATGTACCGAGGCCCTCGAGACGGGGTCTAAACTCGTAGTGCTCGGCATCCACAGCCTCCGACGCTCGTGACCTAGTCTCCTCCGACTGCGTCCCGGGCGACCGGCCGGTCTTCCCGGCGGCACGCAGCAGCCGGCGCGAGTGCCGGTTGACGGTCGGGTTCGGGCGTCGCAGGGCCAGCTCCTCCTGGATGGACTTCCTCTCCTGTCTCCGCCTGTCGTAGAGCTTCCCCTCGGCGAGCAGGAACTCCTGCACGGCTGTCCCGCCCCCTCGCCCCCGCGTGTCGAGACCCACGGAGGCCCACCGGTCCCTTCGCCGCTGGGCTAAGAGAGCGCTTCGCTGGTCTATCTCGGGACGGAACGTATACCCCCTGGGAGGTTTTCGAGACAGCTGCTCCCGGTAGTGAGCCCCCTCTCTGCTGAGGATCGCTTGTTCGTACAGGCGGCGTGCTACGTCGCCGCGCTCCCGCGGGAGCGATTTCGACCTCGTCGAGATGTTGGGGTTGGCGCGGCGGCGGATCGCCGTCTCCACTCGCGCCTGCTGGGTGTCTCGCCGCCGGCGCTGTTCGCCGGCGTCGCTGTGGAGGCGCTGCGATGTCGGGAGGTGCGCGTCGTTGCCCCCGCCGCGGCGCATGCGCTTCACCAAGACGGCAGACCTTCTACAAGTCTCCTGCACCGCCACCGACCCAGATCAACGACGACAAGGAGAGGGACAAAACGGCAAAACGTACACGGTTGGAAAGAACGGATACTACAGGGGTTGTGAGGTGGATAAACACAGAAAGAGCTACAATCATTGACACCAACGCTTTGGCGTGTCTTGTTGCTAGAGCTGCCTGTTGGAAAGTCAAGCTCGGCTTGTTCCACCGCATGCTGCTATTGAAGAGCGTTACCCTCGTAGCAGTAATGCTCACCGGCCGGCCTGTCACTAGCTTGTTTTCGTGCGTCTCTCGCTCGTCATGCCTTCGGCGCCGGGAAGCTTCAGCGTTTCGCTGAAACAGGAACAGATCGTCGACGCTGCGCTGCTTGTTTCGCCCGCGGCGCGTGATTTCGGGCCTGCCCGTCATTTCTTCCGCTTCTTTGCGCCGCGACTCCATCGCCTCCCGAACGGCGGCGGCCTGCCCACGAAGTCTCGCCGTTGTTGCGGCTGGAGGTTCGTGCAGAGGGACCTCTTCCTTCTGGGACGCGTCTACTACGTGTGTCGAGGTAGCGAACCTGCCTGAGGTTTCCCTTGTTCCTAGCCAAAAGTCCGGCTTGGGGGGAGTTTGGTCAGGGCCGCGACGTTGATACGGCCGCCCGAGTTCAGAGTCCGGTTCGTTGGTAGCGAGCCAGTGTTCAGCCTGCTGCAATGAAGTAGCCACAAGATGATTGCCCTGAGACGACGGCGCAGGTTTCAACGTCGGCGGTTCCTCCACGCGTTTGGCTCTTTGACGGGTTGGTTTCTTCAGACCCGACCACTTTGGTAACGGGGTCGATTCTTCGGGACACCCTACGCTACGCTGTGGGCTCCCAAGCACGCGCTTCGTTTCGGCGCCGTCTTTCTGGACCGGCGCTTGCCGAGAACTCTTACAGCCTTCGCGCTCGGCCTCAGGAGATTCACCCTCTACATTTCTGGCAGGAACGGTTGAGGCTCGGTGAAGCGTTGACCGGACGACGGCCCCCCTGGTTGTTCCGGTTTTCAATGTGCGGCCGCCTCCGTCCTCTAGCTCGTCCGTTGTGCCGAGTCGGCCCCCCTTATGAACGACAGTGGGATGTTTCAGTGCCTCACTCCGTGAAGATACCGCGCTGCAGCTTCTCCCAAACTGGATTTTTCCTCCTTTCGAAAGAATCATGGAGGACCTAGACCGTACCGTTACTGCCCCACTCCGGTTGGTGGTAGCAGGTGGTGGCCCCGAGGTTGCTCCTTCTCGCGATTGCGGTGGTGGGTCCCAAGTCGTCTCCCCGGTGTCGACGTTGTAGAAGTACAGCCGCCCGTGCTCCTCAGCAAAAATCGCACGCCACGATGTGGCAAAGGAGGGAGGGGGAGGGGGGGGAAGGGGTGGCGGTGGCGGTGGCGGCGGTGGTGTTGCCGCTGCCGCTGCTGCCGCTGCTGCTGCTGCCGCTGCTGCTACTGTGCTACTTCGTACTTGCGTTCTTCCGCGGGTCATCCTTGTTGGCGATGGGGGCGCTTGTTACTTTGAGCCTTAACGGGATGCACTGGCTACCGTAATAGCGCCTGGTTGATTCTTGTCTTGGCGGCTTTGATGCTGGCGCAATTATCGATTCATGTTGACACCTGCTAGAGGGTCACAATGAGGCACATTGATGTGGCAACGGGCACGGAGCACGGAGGTCAATCTCTGTTGCCGCGCCGTACATACAAAATGCCCGCCAAGAACTAAGGCACGCAAATAGCACCCACGACAACGCAAACCCACACCGCATGCCCCCTATGCAGGCAATCTTTGAAAGTGACGACCCTCTCACCTCATACCGCGATACCGGTGGATGACATCCCACAGCGTTGCGGAGATACTGTTGTAGCTGCAGCAGCGTGGCAGTAGTGCTCGACCGGTAGAAGTCAATCCTCGTCTTTGCACAATTCCACGCCTAGACACGAGGAATGAAATCGAAACTCAGAAACGAGCGAAAGGACCACACATTGGCGAACGAACTCCTCGCGTCACCATCGAGCTCTCGATCGACTCTCTGCAGCGCAGTGTTCGAGACTTCGAGCCCCTTTCCGATGCGGCGCAAAAGCACAAAATATAATCAAAATCTCACCGAACCGACACCTGCCACCAGGGGGCCCCGTGGATTGTTCCAAGCTGCTGCGGAACGGGGTGACACCAGGCCGGGCGGCCCTCGATCGAACGTGTGTTCATAGATTGCGTGCGCGCATAGCCTTGCTCTGCTGTAGTCCTTTGGCCTCTCGCATCAGCGTCACGCACACAAAAATGTTCTCCACGGTAGCGAGGAACGTAGGTGTAGCCGCTCGCGCGGCGGCGCTGCGACCCCAGCCGACGGCAGCAGCAGCGTGGCGGGCAAGTGCGGCTGTGTTGCCTCAGGTAGCGAGGTTCAGCGATGGCGTAGGCGACGGCGGCATCCCTGACACACACGACACCGGCCGGCAGAAGACAGAACGAGAGGGGGTGGGCTTCAACCGCGACCCCATCCACCCGCCCAAGGGCTCGGGCACGAAGGCGATGCCGTTCGAGGTGCCCTCGGAGCACCAGGAGCGAGTCGTCGGCTTCGAGCACCCGGAATCTCACGCCATGTACTGGTTCCCCCTCGCCGCGGGCAAGCTGCACTACGTGGAGGAGATCGACAGGTACTTCAAGCTCGTGCCGCTGTGAGGAGTGACTTGGGCCGGGAACAGGAAGGAGCGAGCAGGAGGAGCTTAACTTTCCAAGACGAAGGGAATGGCTGGGTCGTGGATTCCACGGATGAACAACATGGGGCTGCTGCTTTCTGCTTTTGGAACGGAAACGATGACACTTCCTGCGGGAGGCTCCCATAGGAGCGCATGGGGAGCAGAGCCGGCGAAGGGGGGGTGGGAGGTTTGGAGCTATTACGAAGTAGGGACACACGCTGCACTGCTGCCACGAGGACGGGAGCGATGGAGTCTTCAAGCGTGCCAACGGTTAGCGACTAGCACTAAGAAAATAAAATCGTGATGGTATCTAGCCGTATTGTCGGGACACTAATAGCTACTGCTGTCGTTGATGTAATTTTGCACCCTGACCCTTCATCGTGCGCGTCATCGAAGCTCTGTCCAGAGGGAACAGCGTATGCTGAAGACACCGTACGAAAGGGTGACTTTTGGTGCTTTCAGACTGAAATCATGGTGTGTGATGTGGAGTAGCTTATAGTATGGGCTGCTTGTTTCGTCCACCCGTCGCCACTGCCGAGCTTAGGTATTTGTAGTTTGGGGCCCTCTCAAAAATCTCAAAAATGCGGCATGTTTTTTCTGGCAAGTAGATGTTGGCGCAACCTTGGGAATTTGTTTCAAGACAGGTGGGAGTAGCAGTAACAGCTTCGCTGTGATTGCCAAGGCGTTAATCAACCGGGGTGTTTTTGTTGACTCCCTGAGTAACCGGAATGGGTTTTGTGCCCGCTGTTGTTGGTACGTTCGTCCCTGGTTGGTGTGCACTTCCAGCTGTGAAACGCGGCTTGTCAATGGTCACAACATTAACATTTATCCCACGCGTTCGATTTCACGTCGGTTTGGCGATCGCCCTTAGCCAAGCTTCGAAAGCTGGACAATGTTCGAGTTCTCTGCGTTACGCGAGACTCTTAGCGATCCCCCGCCACGATATTTAAACCATGCTAAGTGTTTTTGTGCCGTCTTTTCGGACGCGTGGCAGCGATATTGGGTCTCGCCTCACTTCGACCGATGGCTGTGGCACCTATTGGTACCTGAATGATGCAGGGTGCTCGTGCTGTCCTCCTTCTTTTTACTTTCTCGTGAATCTCACGCACCATTACAGCCATTCCCTCAGCTTTTTGCGCCACTGGACCACTGCAGGGCATCAGGTTTCCCCCAAAATTCGTGCCCCGCTTGTTGTTCCTCATGTCCTGGTCAACCCCTCAATTCACGGTGGATTCGCACGCATGTTCTCCCGTGTAGATGTTGGGAGGCTCAAATTCCTGTTTCGGACATTAATGAGCGCGAACAGCAGAATGCTCTTATAGGATGCTGCCGTACGTGATGTTCCTCTCATTCTCGTGTACGCGCTACATTCAAGCGGCGATAATCTGCAGCGTCGGCGATTATCATCCGGGGAACGGTTCGACCACGGCCCGCTGTCCTGCTACCGCTACGACTGTCGCGTCGTGCATTGGTTATCCCGTGGTAGCTTTGCACCAAGTCGTGCAGATGTCCCGGCGCCTCTCCTTCCAGCGTCTCGTCGGCAGGATACCGTTTACGCACCCGAGGGTATAGATTTGAGTTCCTCCTCACCTTACTATTTCCTCTAGCTTCCCTGGAGAGAACATGACATGCGTGATGATGAGAGACCGACCGACCCAACCTGTGGCGCCCGAAACGTTGACGACAAAGCCATGTTCCTGGTTGTTTTTCTTACAGCCCTTGAACCACCGTACCGGCACGACGGCTGACGTAGATGCGAAACCTAACCCCGCGTAACCCTGGCTTACTTGTGTAAAGCACCAAGGTTGGGCATTTTTTCGTGCTGCACTTTGAAGGGCCGCCAACCCCCCCGCCCCCACCCTGGAAGTTTCAGCATCTCGCGGTCTCAACGCCCGAGCTCTCCCTTTACAACGATGCAGCAACGCCGCTGCCTCCGTTTACCGTAGCTGACACAGCGAGTCACGCCACATACCCCGGTCTGACTCAACACTTGAATCAGGGATTTTTCTTATAGCTGTCGGGGTGGTATTTTTTTGTGCGAGCTACATTTGGTGGCCTCCCAGGTAAAAAGCAATCGTGCATTGCATTGTAAGCAAATCTTGAAATATGATACGCAACGACCAAGTCGACCAAACTTGGTTGCCTTGGAACACGCCCGTGAGATGCCACACGGTAAAACCAAGGATTGGATCAATTTTAACCTCACACAGAGCCTGATGACGAGAGGTTTTGGGTGCATAGCCCACGTTTGTTTTACCCCCCTCATCCAACTGCAACTTGGAATCAGGCTTCCCATTCATGTTTCAACACGCGTTTCACGCATTTTTCCCCAAAAAAAGAAACAGTCAACACGGGTGTGGACTACGGTACAATTACAACGGTGTGCGCCGCGTGCGACATGACTTCAGTAGTGACTGCAGCGCCACAAATCGTCGACCGTTTCCCGTAGCGCCGCAAATTCCGTCCGACATCACGCGACACGTGCTGTACGGCTTGTAGCCGAACAGGAACACACGCTCCTTATCGCGTCCATCCTCAATTTGGTTAATACTCCCTCTCTCACTCTCCATCGCCCTGGCCCTCTCCCCAAGAGCAAGCAAAGGTCAGGCTGAATCGTGGTAAACCTTCGCGTACAATCCATGCGTGGTATTTCTTCATCCTGCTCCGCGCTCTCCGCCCTCCTCGCGCCCGATACCGCAAGCTTTTCGGCCGAACCGAACCACCCCATGAAAACCCCACTCATACGTCAGAACGCTTGACAAATCGAGTCGATGTTCAACACCTCTTCGACACACTGCCACCCATTTGTTCCACCGGAAGGTTTTTTTCTGGGCGGTGCACATGATCCAAGCGTGTCATGTCGAGCCGAGGTTTTGTCCGGCTGGAATCTCGCCATGAGCCAATTTTGCCCGCCCCGTCTTGCACCTCACATCCGAAAACTCGAATGGGGCTGGTGGCGACCACATTTCAGCACTTGCTCGTGTCGGCTACATTTGTTTCGAGTTTATTCAACTACACATGTGCTGAAGTCACTCTATCAGATGTGATTTGAATTAGTTTGCATCAACCACCACCTTCAAGCCGTGTTGTCCCCTAGCACGAATCCGAGGTTGGTTGGAAATAGGCACCTTGTGGGAACGTTCGCCCAAGAAGTCTCCTCGAACATCCAATTCTATTATGTCCGCACGTGTGAACCCAGGTTGCCAAAAGTGCCACCATGAAGGTACAAAGTCATGGCGATCAGATATCGCCCCTCAAAACAATACCACAACAGTTAAAAACACCGACAACACGCACACACACATCAAACGGGGTCGGGGATAACCCCCCCAGGCTCGCCTGAAGCCCCCCCCTCTCGAGAGACAAAAAACGCAAGGTAAACCTCCGGACAAAGTCAAATCGACGAGTCAGAAAAAAGGGCATCACGCCTTCGTTGGCGACAAGTCTGAGACTACCGCTGTCGCCACTCCAGCCACCATCGCCAGAATCCCGAAAAACACCATGAACATTGGGACGAAAAAGTTTTGCATCGCCCACAGCCGCTCTCCAAGCGCCGGGTGATACTCCGGTGTGCCCTTCTTCCAGACCGCAGATGCTCGGCTAAATTCCTCTCGGTTGGACTTGATGAAGAGGAGGGCCGGCATCACGTATCCCACCGCCTTGTTCGTGATTGCCCAATCGCCAGCGTACGTTTGATTATGCCGGGGGGGAAGACGGAGAAATAAGTTTGCTGCATGCATGCATCGAATGAAAAGAAATGTCAACCATGGGGTTTACACGCGTTTTGCTCGGTGCTCGACCAAAAGCAGCAGCGGTAGCAACAGCCGGGAGGGGGGAAGGCAACCCTTTAGTCTCGGGATGCTCGCTCCCTCTCCTCGCCCTCGCCGTATTACCACCGCCGCGGCACTCTCTCTGTTCGTCGCGACTGGTCTAGACTCTAGACAGTTACAAGTTCGCCGCTGGACACGCCTTTCGATGATATGCAGTCGAAGCAGTTTAGCGGAGAAACAATCGACTCTGCGCGAACTGAGGGATAACTCTGCGAAAAATATATATACGGAGGCAGGGATGAAAGAAAAGTGATGAGCGAAAAGAAGGAGATTTGGGGGCATATGATGCCGCAAACTGGAACGAGAAGCAAAAACACTCACGCTCGCGCTGAAAGCCCCAAAAATCTCCAGGATGGATCCCAGGTTCTTGGTCGACGCAGCCAAAACTATCGACAGCACCCATATAGCGACCGTTATCCCAAAGTGTCGCGCTTGAGTTATCGAACCCTTCCCGAGCCAGGTCTGGAAAACGGCAACGTCAAGCACGTGTCTCGCCACGTACATCTCCATCGGATAGGTGAACACCATGGTCAGCGCCAAGAACGCCCTGGCGATGTTCGCGGGCCCGTGCCGAGTGCCGAAGTTGTTGAGAATGTTCGCGTCGGTCTCGTTGACAAAGTTCAGGTACCCGCTAAGCGCGAGGGTGAGCCCGAGGCCCAGGGCGATGGACACCGACCACCTCGTCACGCAGGCCCACCGGTCCACCCCGCCCTTAGACATGCTCCGGTACACCAGGAAGGACGCGCTCTGGGACACGAACGCGAACGATATCGCCCCGAACCCGGCGAAGACGGTCGACCGGATGAACACGTACCTCTCTGAAGAGTCGATGTCGTCCTTGATGCTGAGCGTGGTGGATGTACGAGTTCAGAGCCAACACCAACGAGCACACCGGCAGCAGTAGCGGTGTCAAGCACCAATAATTTAGCATCTAGCAGCATCGGACGCAGTGATTTTGGGGTGATGGGCAAGAGGAGTCCGCGCAGCAATTATTCGGTACAGGCAGGAACACGAACTATGCACCCGGCCACCATTGAGTGTGTGTAATGCCTGCGACGACCCCGTCCCCCAACCACGGGGCCACGAAACATATGCGTTATTCGGTGCAAAGCCAATCATGGGCTTCGGCCGAGACGTTCTTCTGCACATAGAAACATCGAGCATGTCCAGCCCAGTGTACATGCCTTGTATTCCCACAATGCGCCCAAAAAAACTCCCCGGGGCCCCCGATCCAACCCCAGGTGCCTATCATGTATATACGTTGGACTCAGACATTCTCCATTTCGAGCTAACACAAACAACTTACACAAGGCCGTTGTTCCTGTACATAACTAGAAACAACCGTCGTTCTCTTGCAAAGCGTCGAACGACTCGATGACTTCATCTGTGCCCTGCGGTTTTAACGCTCCGGCACTGCTGTACAGAGACCACAACTCCTCAGGGCGCGAAAGTCGTAATTCGTAGATGTACCTGGCCTCGCCCGCTCCTGCGAAAAGCACGATGAGGGTCAAGAAAACGTCCGCCAGGACGCTGATGCCCGATGTGTATGCAAGCTTGCTGAGGTCCTTTAGCAGCGAAAGGGGCAGCACTGCAAAGATTCCGAACATGAAGACGACCGCATGCCGGTCGGCGAACGGCCCGTTCGTGGTACCCGAAGCCTGCAGGCAGATAGATAGCCGTTGGAGGATCGTTTGGTGCGTTCAGGAGCAAGGTGTGTCTATCCGTTGGGTTTTGTTGGGCATCCCACCAGTCTGCAGACAGGGATCGACCGACACTCAATACATGTTAATGACGGCGGAAGCGGAGGCGGGAGCCAGAGGGGGGGCTGAGACCTGGCTCCAGAGAGGAAAACACGCTTCTAATCGATGTAACGAGTCGGGGTTCATCCCCAACAATGAAAGTCCACATGAGTTTTTTTGGAAACGTTCTACCCATTTCACTTGTTCCTTTTTATCTTTTCTGAGATACCTCTGCGATCGCCGGGATTGTGTCCGCCACGATTATCAAGTACGCCGACATAGCGCCGTACGCCAGGAGCACGACAAAGAAGCTGTACAGGTAGACTCCCGCGTTTCCGAACGAGTTCGCCATGAGCTCCTCGTAGTTTAGGCGCCCGATCTTCTCCCCGGCGACAATGAGCATGTTGGTCGACCGGTTGGTCAAAAAGGCCGCCAGGCAGAGCATGAAGACCCCGGCCCACAGCCCGCTCTGTGGTTTGTTGCCCCGAGGTAAATTCGACGCGTCGTATTTCGGACACGCAAGGAGCGGTTGGTGGGTCGTGGTTTGATCATGAGCGCGTGTGGGGTAAGAGTTAGGGACGTGTAGAGGAGGGCGAGGGGCACCCCGAGGTCCCTCTCCTCCGCTACAGATGTAGGTACGTGTGGTTAGTGGTGATAGGGATATCAAGCGTGGGGGAAGAATATGCGGACACGACAACTCCGCGGGAGGGTGGCTACGGGGTTCGCCCAAGGTGCCCTTGCTGAAGACAATCTCGACGCAGCTAAGATGACCAGAGACAGGAACAAGCATAGCAGTGTGCTTACAGCAGAACAGCAGTACATAAATCACCCGTTCGAAGCGATGTGTTGATAATCACTCGTTCGCAGAGATGTGTTGAAGTTTTGGCGGTGAGAGTTACACCTTTTTCTCTTCTTTGAGATGGTACGCCAACCATGAGAGCTGTACCCTTTGCAGCGCTGCGTTTTCCCTCGTTTCCTCTGCCGAACAAGCCTCCGATGATATTTCAAACTGGTCCATCAACCCGTCAAACATCTCGCCGCACGCGAATCCATATACACTCCTCGCACCCGACGCAAACACACCTCTTAGCAAACAAACCCAACAGCCATAGGCGCTCCGCTAGCTTGGACATGCTACAGCAGTACCGTCAGGGAGGTAAAGAGTAGCCTGTAGACAACCATCATCTCTCCGACAAAGTATGTGGTCAAACGGCGAGAAGTTTCCCCGCATGCGGGGGTGGTGACTCGGATGTGGTTGGAAATCGACATTCTTGCAATTAAAGGCAGGGGCGTGAAAGTCTAAAACGAGTACCCAGCCCTCGTGCACAGGAGTTGCGGGGGCGTTATCTATCCAATGCTGGGTGGGATTCGCTGGCGTCTGCGCGGCACGAACATGAAACGACCATATGCATACGTATGAGGATGGTCAAAGGGCAGACGAAATCAATGCCTGCAGCAGTAACCCAACTTCTACATGCTGAAGCGGAGGAAATACCAAAGAGAGACAACCAATACTACGCACCTCAGCGAGCGCGAAGGGCAGGCCAATAATCCCTGCCCCCACAATAGTATTGACGAAGTTCGATACAGCCCCAGCGGCACTGCTGTTTCCGGCCGGGTACCGCTCCGCACGCTCTGCGACCGCAGCCGCGGCCGCGGCAGTGCTCTCCGACGAGCCTGTCCCTCCGCCCTCAAGGCCTTGACCATTCTCTCCTGCCACCACCGCGGTCATTTCCATCTTGACACCAGTTACTCTACTACTGCTAATTCTCCATGCACTGTAGACGAGCTGCTGACCTGTGGCCGATAGGTTGCTATGCTACGGCACTGCTGCTGCACTGCTGCTGCTGGGCCGACCGCCGACCCACCCAACGGGGCCCCTGGAATCGTTTCATTCGGGCCAACCGAAAGTAGTGGTATTACACTCCGCCTTGGGATTGGACAAGGAGTCGTCCGTTGGGTTTTTGACCAGTTCCCCAGGTTGCTATAGGCTGGGTTATTTTTGTCTCTGCACGTAAAGCTATGTCGTGCTGACTTCGATGTGGTGCATGCTCTTGATTCGTGCTCTTCATGGCAATGAGAGGACGCGTACACTGCTGCTAAGTGCAGCAGCAGCTGATCGAGGGCGAAAAATCGAAAAATCTCTGGCGAGGCCGGTGATTGTGACAGGTGATTGGTTCCGGTCCTCAATGAGAGTATGTTTTGTATCTGTCACAATAGGCCAGGGTCCTACAGCAGAAGTGCCCTGAAACCATTTTTCGACGAACAACCAACAAGTGCAGCCAGATAAACGCAAGGGGTTGCATATGTACATCCGAGAATTGGCAAAGCAGCTTGCCTCGGGCAAACCCCAGAGGGGAATTCGAACCGTGACTTCGTACATCGGGTACAACTGAGTTGGGGGCCTCCGATAGAGGTCTCCTCCCTGAATCAAATCCTCTTGATCGAGAAAAAAGCCCACGCGGATACCGAGCGCGGCAACACGGACAAAAGGATGAGCGGAGAACTTTGAAAGAGGGCACGCACATTTACGTTCAAATCGTGGGCTGTGTCGGTACAGTACGACGTAGTGTGTCATCCAAAACCTTGCGAGCGCTCTCCTTTGTGTTTAAAGATGAAAAGTGAAAATTACGATACGCCAATCGCGGCTTCTTCCCCCGAAAACACGGAGCTATTAACATTGATGATCTACCTTCCCCACCACCACCCTTGACTATCTATTCCCTATAAACAAAATCGAAACATAAAGGGTCCGTTCAACCAAAGTCGTGAGCGGGCTCAAGCAACTCTGCGGCATCATCGGCGACATTCAAAACATGTAACCCTTCGTAGGCGATTATGAAGGACGCAAACAACTACCGCAAATTTTTCTTCCAGTGTGCCTCTCTTCACCGGATATTGCAGCGCGTCCAAGAGATCTACAGGGACAAAGCGTCGACCCCTCCCCATCGATAGCCAATCCCTCTGTCGCACACGCCAGCACTTAACCACATATGCTTAAGTTTGCTACAGTCTTCTAGCACACAGACAAAAACTTCCCGCAGACAAACACTCCCCACAGACCTCAAGCGTTTCCCCGAACGACCGAGACCCGCGATTCTACCTCTGAAGCCACAACCAACCCACGCACCCTAATGAGAAAATCGGTAATAATCACGCCTTCGTGTGTGACAACTCCCCAACAACCGCCGTCACGACGCCGGCCACCATCGCCACGACCCCGAACAGCACCATGAACACGGGCACGATGAAGTTGCGCGACGCCCACAGCCGCTCGGTGAGCGCCGGCTCGTACTCGGACGAGTCCTTGTTCCAGGCGGCCTTTGCTTGCCTCAGCTCGTGGCCGCAGGACTTCATGTACAGCAGCGGCGGCAGGACGTACCCAATCGCCTGCTCTCGTGTGACGGGATGCAGGGGAGACCGGGAGGGCAAGGCCGCTCATGGGAGCCATCGTCGGCGCCATTGGAAACGGACAAGGAGTGCGTGGTGGGCGATTGGGGCTGCTATGTACACTTGTTGGAGCTTTGTTTTTGGTTGTCGAGCTTAGCTGGGCGAATGGGTGAAGATGACAGAGACTTGTATCTCTGGTTCCCGCTTTTGTTAGGGGGGCAAAGTCTCGCCAGTGCAACAAGTGGTTTGTGCCTACATATACACGTCGTTCGGGCCAGGAGTAGCTTGGCCGGCGACACCTTCAGATCGTCAGCTGTACAACTATACCGAGACCTTGTAAAGAAAGTGTTTCGATGTTGTTGTTTCATCGTCCGTGACAGCCGTAAGTATCACAAACAAGGTTGGGGATACGTTTCGTACATCCACATCACGTTATGTATCGCCGGAGATATTGAGAACGCCTCAAGCCCCGGCCACAAACACACACTCACGCTTGCGCCGAAAGCACCGAAAATCTCCAGGACAGATCCAAGATTGCCGGTGGACAGGGCCAGTGTCAGGGTGAGCGCCCAGATGATGACGGTTATCCAGTAGTGCCGAACCGTGGTGATCGGGCCCTTCCCGAGACAGGTCTGGAAAAGTGAAGCGTCTAGCACGTGCCTTGCCACGTACATTTCTAATGGGTAGGTGAAGACCTGTCGGTGAAGAATGGGCGAGCAAGCATCGCACGGCGCCAGTCAAGTAAGAGTCAAAGGCATGGCAACAGGTCACAGGGTGTGCAGCACGTTACTCGGAGCGAGCCCGATCGTCAAGCACACACAAACGAGTGACTGCACCGGCCGCGCAACACGGTTCGCTTGCTGCGGCGATGCTGATGATGATCAAGCAAATAAAGCATTAGGGGACGAAAAGGCTACATGTAGCTCTATTCTCGCTTTCCCGGGGAGAAAAAGAACCGACACATGATACACCTGCACGAACGCATTGACATGAAAAACAACAACCACTTTCCTACCTCGGTTCCTTTCCTGCCCTTTACTCGCCGCCACCACAAAACACGTGAAGTCATTCTGTGTGATTGTATGTGTATTTTCTAAAGAAAGGGAAATCTTGGCATGCGTGACAAGCCCAACCAACGCAACACCGGCACCGTGGCGGCCCTCACCATCGTCAGGGCCAGGAAAGCTCTGGCAACGGTCGCGGGCATGTGCTCGTGCGTGAAGTTGTTCAAGATGTTTCCTTCGGTGCCGTCCGCGAAGCTGAGGTAGCCGGCGACGCCGAGGGTCAGCGACATCACCAGCGCGATGGAGACCGCCCACCGCGTAACAGTGGCCCACCGGTCCACACCTCTCTCGCTCATGCTCCGGTACACCAGAAAAGAAGAGTGTTGGCAAACGAAGGAAAAAGAAATTGCCCCGAATCCCGCGAAGATCGTCGGCCTGATGAACGTGTTCACGTCGGACCGGTCGACGTCGGGGAGTTCTCTGATGGGGCCCGGAGGGGGTGGGGGACGGGAGTTAATCGGATCGAAGATGTGACAAGGAGAAGGGGCTGAGTAAACAGAAGGAGGCGTTGTGGTGGGGGAGGGAGCATATTTGAGACTACCATGTGTACTTCGACTTCCACAAGCCATTCTCCAAGTATGCGTCTCCAAAAAAATTGCTTCACTTTCGACACATGCCTCGGTTGTGGTGCGTGCTGCAGCGATTCCAGCTACAGTGCTGCTTGGTTTGTTTTCACCCAAACCAAAGCAAAGACGTTACCCCTTCATAAGCAACGGCACCGATTCAAGAAATCCTCATCCACATGAGTGGCCCTCCTCTTGAACGCCCACCCTACCTCAGCGAACGCTCAACCCGCACACCCTCGAGCATACCATACCCGACACTCAGAACTACTCCTTTCCCTTTGCCCCTTTCACACCCTCGGTTCTCAGGCGGAATCAGACCAAAACAATACGCACGGTCGGTAAATAATTCTGAATGATATTTTACCATGGCACGTTCATGTGTCGCGTGCTCGAAACTAAGTAAATGTTCCACATAAGTAAGTGTTCACCTGGCTGCTCCCGATGCAGCCACAAGGACAATGACCGTGAGCAGAACATCAGCCAGGACGCTCAAGCAAGACGTGTAGGCAAGCTTGCTCAGATCCTTGAGCAACGACAGCGGGAGCATGCAGAACACCCCGACCATCCCGATCGTGGAAGCCCGGTCAGCGAGCGCTCCGGTGTCGATGCCCGACGCATGCGCGATCATCGGGACCGTGTCTCCCACGATGATCAAGTAGGCAGACATTGCCCCGAAGGCCAGCACGCCCGCGAACAAGGTGAACACGTGCGTCCCCGCGCTGCCGAAGTAAAACGCCATGAGCTCCTCGTAGTTGAGCCTCCCAATTTTCTCTCCCGCCGTGATGAGCATCGTGGTGGACTTGACGTTCAGCAGAGCGGCGAGGCAGAGCATGAAGATTCCCGCCCACAACCCGCTCTGCCCGAGGTTTTTACGCGTGTATGCGTCGCCCCCATGTCAGCGACGGCCAGGGCAGCGAAGTTCGCGACAAGGCATTTTCGGTGAGGCGGCGGCATTCTTTCGTTGTTGTTTTTGATCTCTACACTGTCATGGTATTTGGACCCTTGGACAAAGATACCATCCGGGCGGGTACATCTTTTAGGCATACACCGACTACGTGGTCAGATTCCCGGTATTCCGACATTAAGTAAGTAGGGGCACAACAGTTGTAAGCAGCAACTATTAATAGTGGTGTCAACGCCGTCCCTCTCGCACGATGATGCCTGGAAGTGAGCGACAGCGAGCGACTGAGGGAGACAAGAAGGGTAAGGAACGAAACGGACAGAAACGGGGCGGCCGTCTGCACACATCGGATCCGTTCCACACCGCAATATCGTCACACTTGGTGTCATCTGCAGGACACGAACCTGCGCGTGAAATCACAATGGGTTCCAATCCATACCTGAACTCTACAAGGTCAAGCATCCTTCTACACCTGCTACTGTACTACCGGAAGGTTGGGAAACCGTGGTCCCTTGGCTTTGCAAAACTACGCGTTTTATCCTCAACTACAACGCAGCATGCACACAACAGCACCCACGACGCATGAAGAGTATGCATAGTTGTTTCGAGTTTTACGCTCCGCCTTAAACAGCATGAGTCTTGAACGCCTTGTCGAGACGGGGTTGAACGGGGGGTGGTAGACGGCCCTAACTACAGCAGCAGGGAAGGTTGAGCAGCATCGGCCCGGGCGAAACGTCGAGATTGGGACATGCTGGAAACATGTTTCATTTATTGGCTTGCCAGACTTGTGCGACAAGGGACGACAATATCCCGAGAGAGCATCTCCCCTATTGGCTCGTTATCAGCATATTTGCCTCGGGGCAACCCAAGCGTGAGGAAAACTACAGTACAGCAGTAGTATCCTGCTGTTCAACAAGCACTGACTTTGGTTGTTTGCTGTCTACCGTTTCGATTTGTTCCAAGAAGTCATCTTGTGAGAATTTGGATAGAAGTAAAACAAAATTTACGTAAGAAACTTCTGATTCATGTGGAATACGGAAACTTGATGGCATCGGGCGACAAGTTTGGACGGCAGAAGAGCACGAGCATCGCAATACGAAGCGGGCCCACCCACAAGCAACACACCTGAGCTGTCGCGAACGGAATCCCTACAATTCCAGCGCCCACGATGGTGTTGACGAAATTAGCAACCGCGCCAGCGGAACTGCTGTTACCAGAAGGGTAACGCTCAAATCTATTTGCGGGTTCGACACCGCTTGTTGTAGAAGCTTCGACTCCATCAGACCTGGCGGTTAACTCAAAGTCCGGTTCCCCGCCAGCATTATCAGGAGCTTCCATCTGCTGCGGCAGAGGGTAGAGAAGTGTACCCGGAGAGTGTTCAGTTTCAGCTGATCAGTTTAGGTCTCCATTTACTGACTGAGGTGCGTCGAGTGGACCAGCCATTGCCATCTTACAGTTCAGGGGGCTCCGCCGAAAAGGTTCGCGAGAAGAACCATGTTGGGATTCGTTTTCCGAAGCGGGATGAAAGGTGCGTGGTGCTTTGGTGGCAGCAGCGTAGGCGAGCTAAGAGGCTACTGAGAGAGACAGACTCATCGGGAGCCAGCTGAGCAGTGATCTTATCTGTGGTGGAAGATATGGCCCAGGGAAGCTTCAAGAAGAGCGGCGGAGCACCGAAGGTCAAGGGTAAGGCGGGCAAGGGAAACGTGGCGGCGAAATCGAGGAGATTGGTCAACAAGGGCAAGACGGCAGTGAAGAAGGGCTGTGAGTCGCGCGTGGGTGTGCGGGCGTGCTATCTACAGCAGTAGTAGCAGCGGACTGCTTTGGGATGCTCAGACGGTTTTGGGAGGAGCGTGCGGCTTAGCTATTCGGGCCTACTTTTTCCCGCACACCAGCCTTATCCACGGGCTCAATGTGAACTGAACACGGCTCCTCCGGTGCTGAAAACACAGCAGTGTAGTCTGAACAACCAAACAATTTTACAGCAGTTGGGTATAATATACGACTCCCACCACAACGCCACCCTATATGCACACTACAATGTTTCAAAGAGAAATCTGCAGCGGACGAAAACCGGACGAAATCACGTCTAAACAAGCTCGCCGCTCGTTGTGCCTCTCATGCCAACGCTACAGGCAACTTCGAGATGGTGCTGGAAGCATAGAGGGACTGGGGGAAATAATGTGAACGTCACCTATTTCGCATGTTTCTTCGCTCACCGAACGAGTTGTTGGCGGCCTACAACTTGGTGAGCGAGGAAACGTGAGGAGAGGGTGACGCTCACGTCATGTCCCCAGTCCCTGCTTCCGGTACCACTTATCTACAGCGTGGGAAGGTACAGGCGCATCCAGCCGTGAGCTTGTTTAGCCGTGATTTCGTCCGGTTTGTCGTCCGCCTCAGATTTCTCTCTGAAACATAGCGTAGGGTGGTGCTGTGGTGAGGGTCATAACATACCCAACTCCTGTAAATTGGTGGATTTAGTTCCAGGCTACATGTAGTATTGGACACACGTCAACCTTGCGATGCATTCATGCGTCGCACGTGCGTACGTAAAATGCCGTTGTTGAGCGACGCCTGCCTCTGTCAAAAAATGGATCCTTCCGCCTCTCGCTTAGGGCCGTTTTAAACTGACCGACTTTTTGTCAAAATGTTTGAAAGTGTCAAAAAAATGGAACCTGTATGTAGGCGTTTGTCCATATTCTTTCAAAATATTTGGAACGAAGTTGGGCGCGAAAACTTTGCTCCACTTCGTTCCAACTTTTTGACAACCCTCTCAAAGTATTTGGAGCACTTTCCAAAGTACCCTTGCAGAGGCACGCGAGGGCTGCTGCGTCTGCACCACGAGTGCCCCTCACCGTAGAAAGTCAGCTAGGGTTGTGTGTGGGTCATGGCCGACCGTAGAAAGCGCGGCGCGCCTACAGATTCGAGCGGCTCTCCTCGCCCACGGGCACGCGCAATACAAAAAAAAAAAACGGCGGTCCGCCATGATGGCTTGCAGTTGTTGCTTCGCGTCCGCCGCTTTGTTTTTTCCTTTTCCCGGGGGGGTAGGAGCAGTGGTTGCCACCCCTCGCCGGCGGAGTGTTGGTGGCGGCAGCGCCTCCCGTGGTAACATGAGTGTTCCCCGAGATGCCAGGCAGCAGCACTATCTTGCTGGAGAGCAAGCCTCCACCGCCTACGGCGGCACCGAGAGAGCCCGTCTGCTGGAATTTCGCCGGGGTTTTGGTCTGCCGGCCACGCTGGGTGGTCGTGATATCCATGTCGGTGTCCATGATGTCGTGTTTTCCGCGGTTTGTGTTGTGTCGTCTGTGTTGTCTCGAAGTGAGCGCTACAACTCACGGACGGCGTCATTTTTTTTTACACAAGTTGCACAAGTCTACGTCACACGTTTAAAATGACTGCACACAGGTTCCAAGTTTTTGAAAGACAACTGTCGAAAATTTTGACAAAAAAGTCGGTCCGTTTAAAACGGTCCTTACGCATTGCCTTGACCTTGACCTTCAAAACAAATTTCCAGGAGCTTGATCCAAATCATTCGGGGCGTCATCCCTCTCTGCCTGATACTTTCTTGTCTTAGAAGCCAGCCTCTCCGCTCATCCCTCGTCCCCAATTTGCACTTTGTTGTTTCTCATACTTCGGGGTTGCTCCCGACGGGTCATCCACCTCTCCGACGGATGTGCCTACAGCGTGGAATCTGCCACCAAAGCAGGCGGCCAAGCTCGCGGCGGCCAAGGAAGAAATGGTGAGCTTACCGCTCTCTTCAGGCGTTTTCATACTGCTGAAGAGCGAGCAAGTTAACCAGCTCCTGGCTTCAGATTCCGTGGATGCGCTGGGTTCCTGCTTTTTTTGTGCGAGATCATGAAACAGCAGCCGTACCGCTTGTGGATGGCGACGGCCAAACGCAGGGAGAGAGACAAGAGAGATGTGTCGTTGTACCGTGCCGCGCGCTGTCATCAGCTCACATCCAATATAGTTTCTTAAGCACGTCTTGTATATCTAGGCGTGCTCCCTCTTGGGATCATAGCATTCCACACTATGGCACACGTAAAATACGATATCTTGTGTCGCGACATGAAGCCGCCTTCGTTGGGCGTTCTGTGGTGGAAGAAACGATGTACTGTATATACAGATGGGCAGCTCTTCCGCGTTACATTTTCCCTCGTGCAAGGTACATCGATGCCTGAACGCTGTAAATCGAGTTGCGCAGAGGGGGAAGGCCGGCAGCATTGACGACACCTGACACCAAGCGGCAGTCTTTTCCCGTTTGTGGTTGATCCCACCAATCAGTAAGCTGCACAAGCCCAGCAGATCTGTCAGGCCAACAAAGGTGTCCGCTGAACCACGACCACCTTGGTTGCACATCTGTCCAATGACGCACTCTTGGACGTTGTCTACACGAATTGTGCTTCTCTTTTTGAGTATAGACTATAATCTTTTGTAAATAGTTCCCCTCACTGGCATTAGCAAAGCTATAGCGAAGCAACGACAGGGCAGTGAGGCGCTTGCTTTCAGCCGTCGTTTGCCCAACCTGCCCGCCAATGACCACTCGCAGGCTAGGACAAAAATGATCAACAGCACAAACGAGAAACAGGCGGCCGCGAAGTGCTTCCAGAACCAGGAGAAGCTTTTCCTCAGAGAAGTGAAGGTGGGCGAAAAACTACTGTGTCTGAGTGAAGCTGTCCTAGGAAAGAGGCGTGACTAACGCATCAAGTAGATCCGGGCTCAACCTAAGAAGGAGCTTGCCGGTTGTGCCCATGGGCTGTAACATCTTCGACGTGGCCGGTCCTACTTTTGTGGTATCTGGAAAGCTCTTTCCAGATCGACAACACAGCAGTGGTGGGCGCGCGGAAAAAGATAACTCACGCTACAGCTACACAACAGCCCCGCACGCGGCTCAACGTTGGCCGGAAGCTTGAGCTTTTCAAGCTTCATGGCCAGAAGGTAGCGCACTCATTGCCGCAGTCATACGAAGGTGCGGATGAAGAAGCATCCTCGCTCAGGATATGTAGGGGTACGTGGTGGTTTGGTCTCCTCACCTGATGCGCTTGCTCATGTGCGGTTACTCCGGTGCGTTCGGTCGGCATCTTACGGTGTGCTGGAGGTCTAGGTTGAGGTATCTACAGTGGTGGCGTAGATTGATACATCCGTCAAGTTTACCTTGCGCCTCTTCCGGTGCTACTTTTCGCACACGGTCCCAGCCACCCTTGAAGAGAAAAGGGTATGTAGGGGGCGAGGTCGAGGGAGGAGGGCAAGCGCCCCTCGAGACGATGCTGAACACGAGGCCTGACAAGCACACGTTGCTTGTTGTGCGGACGCGTGTTGTGTAGTGTGCTGTGTGCGAGGATGACCTGCGGTATGTGCGTAGTCTTGAGGAACACGTTCGAAAATGGTGGCCAATAACAACCCGCGCCGTTTTGGCTCTTTTTTGCGACAGGAAAGCGGCCGAGAATTGGCGCGCGACATGAAGCGAAAAGCGCTCAAGCGAAAGAAGACGCGAATCGAAGAGAAATTGGAGCAGGCTAAAGAGAAGGCGAGCTGTCGATCCGTGCACAACCGTAGTTCATGTACATGTATGATATCTGTGTTTTTTTCTCATGTCCTCTGGTTGCAGTGTGATGAAAGTGTGGCTTCTGGGCACGCCCTAGAATCGATCTCGAGGGCGCTCTTAAACGATTGACTTGCACTACATTGTGCTAGACTTGTGCTGTTGATGTTTTTTTCGCTGGCGTACTCTCGAAGATTTGGAATGGCCAACAGTCGCGTGCATAGTTGTACTATTGGTCACCGACTTGCTCCCCCTCCCCTCCCCAACATTTGTCTGTGTTTTCACACGCGGCTGTATCTCTTTCATTTTGATGAAGTGCGAAAAAAATGCAATCGGTGTTTCAAGCGATGCAGCAATGACAGCCAAATACTGTAACTCTTGAACAACGTACGCATAGGCAACTAACGTTGTTGTTGGCGGTAGTGATGGTGATTCTGTTGTTTTTGCTGCTGATGCCGCCGCCGTCTCAAGCCGCAATTCAGCTTACCGCGTCCGCCCCGAGCTGCTGTCGTTAGTCTACCAGAATCAACCTGACAACCCCGAGACACCCCAGAAGCCACTAACGTCTGTTTGTGTTTTGCTGTGCCATGTCGCCCTTTCGCTCGCAGCTCGAACGCGTGGAGAAGAAGCACGCATAGGTGTGGGGATGACGAGTTTACCACTTGTACTTTTTGATGTGTTGGTTGTTGGTTGGGCGGGGGCGTTGGGGGGCGGGGGGAGGCGTTACTCGTACCAGGGACAGCGGACTCGCAAGGCGAGTGCGGCCTCTGTCCCATGGATATTCGGCGTAATGCGAAGCGTGTTTTTGTTGTTCCACGCGCCGGCGGCGCAATAACCCGCGTGGACGGACAAAGCCGTAATTTTTCGGGGCGTTTGTGCCGAGAACGAAGAAAGGCGTGGTTTGGTGTGGATTGAAGGTGGCGGTATGGGGCAGCGCTCTGCGCTTTGGTTCGCGAGGAAGTTGCTTGAACGAGCTTGTGAGAACGTTTATGTCAAGGAATGCCCCACTCCGTCGAATGCAGTACTGTAGTGTATATCGTTGGCACGACTGCAGCGTTCTCGGGTGTGCAAGAGCAGTACGTCGATGTACGGTTCGGCGTAACAAACGTAGCGCACGAGCGCGCAGGATGTCGGTGGTGCTCATGCGCGATTATTCGTCTTTGACTTGTGTATGGTTGCGAAGGGTTTCGAGAGCGTGACATGAGTGACGCTGTCCGCCGAGCCGCCAGGCCTTCGGTTGCGATCATGGTGCCCTGTTTCTCTCTCTCTCGATCAGCAAGCGAGTTGCGCACCTCTGCCGAGAGTTGAGGCATGAGTCGTTGGTCAAAGTGTAGATAGGTTGTTTCTTCTTTTGCTGGGTCATTGTGACAATTGCACCCGGTGTTGTAGCTGTGTCTACGGAGATGCGCATGGGCGAAGGAGCGCGGTATGATTACTGTTGGCACGCTTCGACCGGCAGCTCCCCTTTCACTCAGAGGCGCACAAGGTGCTTGCCTCGCTGGATATGGCATGCCGGGCTAGGTGTCTCTTAACACTGGGTTGTTTTGCTTTCGACGGCGGGATATCTCGGTACACTTTCAAGCGGGGGAGAGTATGTGAGCTCTGTGTAAGGTCACTGCGCGTGCCTGTCTGATCCATGTCATGTGATATGCCGATAGTTCCCTGGACTCCAAGTAGCGAACGGGTGTGTTTTGCCGACCTGTCTGTGGGACAAGCTGCATGCGCCCCTCCAGATAAAAAAATGCCGTCTGATCATACAACGCGAAGCGCTCCCATGGTAGAACACCTCCGAAGCATAAGCACTGAACTTCAAGAGTTTTGCCGTTCAAATAGATAGACGTGTGAAGAAATAAGCCGCACGCAGGAGGAAAATACATAGCCCTAGTGTGCCAAATATGCGAAGATAACAAACGGACGGCATCATCCACGTCTTCGTCTCTCGATACTTGTACTACATGTATGTACTTCGAACGTGCGAAGCGCCAAGCGCCAAAAAAATCCATCTCGGAGATCTACTCTGCCCATGGTATCTATAATAGGAGGCGACATCAACCTTTCTGAAAAAAAACGCGATACTGATTCGTGTTGTCAAATATACTGCTGTCGTTAGAACTGACTTGTTTTCTGGACTTGTTTGACTCTACCTGCTGTGGGATAGATATAGCACCCGGGTGTGTTGGAAAACACGATCTATCGCGCATGACATGACTGATACTGCTGATGAGCCACCCATCGATGTGAACTTAGGAGACGGGAGCCCCTCCTCGTACCCCCCCGTCCCGCCAAAAAGCGTCGCCATCGAGCTGCGTAGCCCCCCCGGGGCAATGACTGCCGTGTACAGCAATGCGCGGCACCCTGCGCGAATGATAGGAAGGAGAGAGTCATGGTACCAGGGGGAGGCGAAGAGGGTACATCCATTTTCGACCAGGATAGCGAGCAATCGAAGCCTTTGCTGGGAGACGACTACGATAGGGACGGCGCAAGCAGTGCCGCACTGCCCGCGGGTGCCAAGAAGAAGGTAGCGGAATATCTGTCCGCTGCCGAAGAAAGCGTGAGCGTTGTGCACCGGGTGCTTCATGGACTGTACGGGCACCTCCCCAGGGAGGACGTGCCTCGGATAGTCTGGGTGAGAACGAGATGCCATGTACTGCTCCTGAACACCAAGTTTGATTGCTGTGCCGCGACGTAGGTATGGGGACATGTTTTGAACGGAATGTTCCAACAGGAAGTGATCTCGGTTTTCCACGGCAATGCCGCGTGCTGAGTTTGCCGTGGTAAGCTGTAGCGAGACAGCATTAACTGGCAACTGCTGCGGCGCTTGACACGCAATCTAGAAGAGAGGGCTTTACTTTGCCCCCCTGGCTGGGTTTTCTCGATGATTGTATGATACATTTATTTCCATCTCTGGTGGTCTGAACGTGATGTTTTATATTCTGTTTCAAACGTGACGGCACGCCACTCAGCTAAAACGTTGGAGAGAGACATTCACATTCCTGCTATCTCGGAATCCACACGTTCACACCACCTTGGACCGAGTGATGACACCGCCGTAGCTCGGCAGCAGTCTACACCGGGACCAAGCAGCGCCACAGAGCGGAGCAACAGGGTCTATCTATTCAAACAGGTCTCATGTGTCGTCGATGTACGAGTGTCGCGGACGTTTGTTTGTACAGCAGTACACCTCGTTGATCGCCAACACCGCGACCCGCCCTTCGCCTCTCACTGCTGTTTCCACCTTGGCTGCCTGCTGCTGTCTGTCGATACCAACCACCACCACATGCGATCCCCTCGCAGCTATCTTTGACGCTCTTCGCCATTATCGGCGGCTTCTGGCTGCTGGACTCGTTGAAAGACACCGTGCTGGAGGGGACCGTGGGGCTCGAGTATCAGCCGAGAGCCAAGCTGGTGTCGGTGGCGGTGACGCTGCTCCTCGTCATCCAGTACAACAGGCTGGTGGATTCCTGCAGCAAGCCCACGGTGAGCGTGGTCACGAATGCTGTGCGTCTGCGCTGGTGTTCGGGCGTGGTACGGCCCAGCTGCTGCCTCAGCAGGCAGTGGCTGGTACCATCCATCTCTGTCATCACATGAACCCTGTATCGTCCTAGGGAGCCACACCGTCACATCTTCGAGGCGCTTCTCGCTGTGGCCACCGCACGCATACCCTGCAACGTACAGCATGGCCCAGCGTTGATGATAGCTCTTCATGTGTTCGGATATCAAGGTTCGAGTACGTGCGACATGAAGCAGTGGCCCAACAAGAGCAACAGCAATAGTCCTCAAAACCACGCCCAGAAAAGCATCCGTCCAATTGACCCCCGCTATCCCCCTCCCCGCCCGATGACGCGCTCTCACCCCCACCGATCAGCTGTTTTACATCCTAGGGGCCTGCTACACGCTGCTCTTCCTGCTGGTCAGTTTGGTGCTGCGGACCGCCCCGCTCGGCCTGGCCAACTGGGGCACGAGACCCGCTCGGGTGATCGGGTGGGTGTCTTTCGTGGCGATCGAGTCGTACGGGTCTCTGGCCGTGGCGCTGTTCTGGGCCTTCACTAACGCCACCGTCGACCTCGAGGCGGCGAAGGCTTCCTACGGGCTGGTGATCGCCGGGGCTCAGATCGGAGCCATTATAGGTGTGTTGAGATCGATAACAAGCACGGAAGCTGTGGAAGTGTTGTTGTTGTTGTTGTTGCTGCTGCTGCTGCTGCTGCTGCTGCTGTTGTTGTGTTCACATTGAAAACCGATGTGGCCCCCGCATCCGACACAACTTCGGAGGTTGTATTTCACACGAAACAATCAACATCACCCGTCGCCATACGTAGGCCTAGCCAAAGAGTATTGTAAATAATAATTTCAAGCTTCCCGCAAAGGGGAAGGGGGTGTCTTGGTGTGGGCACACTGCACAGGGGGGGGGGGGGGTTCTAGTAGTCGTGCTGTAGCATCTTTGGCGGTTTATCATGAGGCGACAGACGAGAACGATGGCTCCAAAACGTCCGGGATACAGCTTTCGTCGAAGAGTGTGTGGCGCGTGCTTGTAGGCTTGGCTACGAACATCAGGGTGATGCAAATAACTCCCGACTACGCCTGTACCAACATTCTTTTGGCCGAGAAATATGGGAAGAGGACGAACACGTTGCTTTCGCAGAACGGCAGCAGTATGCTACAGTTGATGCCAGTGGTGGAGGCAACCCTCCCTTTACCGCTCACTAATAACCACAGTTATTCGCTCTGTCCTGCTCGCCCTCTGAGCAGGGTCGACGGCCGCGACACTGCCCATGCACAACGAGAGCCTCCACGTGTGGCATCTCTACGCGGCCGGGGGGCTCTGCCCCGCACTAATGGCATTGCTTGTTCGCGGCTACGTGTTCTTTTTCGGCAACAACCTGCCGCGGGAACGCTTGACCAACATCCAGGGGTGAGGCCAACACAGGGGAAGGGTAGTCGTCTTTTGCATGCCCCACATGTTAGACCATTGAACACGCGTCCTCCGGAGGGGTAGGGTGCGAGATCGAAGTTGACGCCTGGACGGAGAAGGCTGCCGTTTCATTTTTTGGCACTCATGGTCATCTTCTAAACACACGTCGGCGGCCCACCTTGGCATTGTGTCGAAAAACAAGCTCAACAGCCCCCCTTTGTTTGCCGTCGCTTTTTTTTGTTTGTGGGTGCCCAGGACCGTTGACAGCGCCCTCAACGGGCTCAAGCTTGTGCTTCGGCACCAGTACGTCGCGCTCCTCTTCGGGATAAGCTGTCTGTACGAGGTGGTGCTGACTATCTTGGACTACCAGATGAAGGTAAAACTAGTTTTTTTTTGTATGTTCTCTCGATAAAAAACTAAATTTTGATGAAGGTGCCTAGCCAAAGGGTGGCTCGACCTCGTCAGCGCTGCTTGTAGTTAGCGTGGAAAATGGATGTGTATCGTAACGACCAGCAGGAATAGAGGAGCTACGTCAACCCCTAAGCGTTGAGTTGCATAATTTCCCCGCCGCGGGACCTCGTCCCTCCTGACCGAGGCTATCCCCTTTTCCACACCAGCACACGTAGGTGCGCATCGCGTCTCTTCGTGTGGGCCTAGGGTAGTCTATCGGCACGGGGGATTTTCACCACCATCGACTGGTCCGGCTCGCGCTCATGAAACTCAGGGCAAAGAGAAGCGAGTGCCCGTAGGCTAAGCGTGTTGCTTGGCGTTCCCACCGCTTTTTTTTTTTCTCTTTCCGGGTTCCTGCTGTCATTCAAAGCACCGCTTTGCCGCACCATATTCCAAGCCCCCGCAAGAGCGACAGCTAGAGCTCACCACCTGACCCAATCACACGTCAACGTCAGTCACGGAATCTTCAGCCGATCAGACACGTTCTGCATGATTAGTGAACGAATGGGTACACTCTGCTCGATTCAAAAATTCGGACACATTCGAGACTTTCATTTTCAAATGTCCCAGCAAAGCAAAAACGAACGAACGAAGTCATCGCGGCCATCTCTCCATCCGTTCCCGAACCAACGCGTCATCCATCCATCCATCACTATGACACCACCGTGGGAACGACCCGCGAAACCAGGTTCTGGGCGTGGAAATGTTCCGCGAAACCGCGGGCGACGAGGCAGACGAGCGCATGGCGAGCCTCATGGGGCACTTCGGCCAGACGACCAACTCGCTGTCGCTGCTCATGTCACTCTTCGGCACGAGCCTCTGCGTGCGCCTGCTCGGGTTGCGGAAAACTCTGAGAATTTTTCCGACGCTCCTGGTGGTCGCGGTGGTGACGTCGTTCTTCGCCCCGTCATTGAGCTTCCTCTTCGTGGCCGTCGCCATTCTCAAGGTGTGCACCGTCTGATGTTGTTGTTATTGCTTTCGTTGCTATTGTTTTTGCTGAGCTTTGATTTGGCACGGGAGGTGAATGTGGGATGAGATGGGTATGTTGCGTGTGTCGAAGGAGAAGGTATAAAAATTCTGCGACATCTTTGTGTCTAGTGTTAACAAAAACGGTCGTACATGTGATTATTTAGTGGGTGTTCGTCAGGGGCCCCGCGGCATGGAAAAACCAGAGAGAAGTACCCAACACTGACAATTATACGAGTAGTTGATCGCCGCTTGGCACTCTTGTTCGGTGTTCTCTGGTGCTGCGTTGCGAGTTTTGGCGACTGCCCAGCAAGTTGACCGGCAAACACAGGAGCTAGTATACTACGGAGCAGTATGCAGCCTTCAAGCGCGGGTGTATCTCGTGAGAGTTGAGAAAACCCATGACACAGAGCAGTAGACACAGGACATGGCAACGGCAATCACCAGTTGAGCACGCCCCCCCCCCCTCAAACGATGAAAAAATAAAATCAGGGGTTAACGTACGCCCTCAACGAGCCGTGCAAGGAGATGCTATACCTACCCACGTCCGACGCCATCAAGTTCAAGGCCAAGGGCTGGATAGACGTGTTCGGGTCACGGTGTGCCAAGGGGGTGGGCTCCTTCGTGACGCTCAGCAGCCGGGGGGATCGGCGTAGGCTGGCCACGTACGGGGGCGTCGCGAGCTTTTTGATCAGGTTTGTCCGTGGTCGCGCTTGGTTGTTTGGTTGGGCTGGAACTCTTCCTGCTATGTGGCTGTTTTTTGTGTTGGCGGCCACGCACACACCCCTCACGTATCGCAGAGTCTCTGTTCCGTCGTTTTCCCATATTGGTGGCGTCGTGCCTGTGGGGGGGTAGTCTTGCTATTGCCGTTTGCGTGCAACACTTGCTTGGACCGATTCGATGTAAATCAAGCCTGATTTTTGACGCAGAAAATCCGCCCGCAACAGCGATCGGCATTTCTTGACCCCAGACCTCTTGAGTGCTGGTACTGGCCTACCATCGAGCTTACTGTACTTTCTGCCGCACCTGTGTACTGGCTGTAGCCCTCAGGCATCTCCCCCTCTGGCTATCTATAATCTTGCGTTTTGTATTCATTATTTTTGAACATCCCACGAGATGTCTTCGCTCTCTTCTTCGTGCTCAATGACGTCATGACCCTGGTTGTTGTTTGCCCGCAAACGCCGTCTCTTGATCGTCGCTGCCCCCGACAACCAACCAATCAACGACGAGCAGCTTGATACTGCTGGGGGTTTCGTACGTGATGGGGGGGCATTTTGACGCTCTCATAAAGAGCGGGGAGATCGTCGGGGCCGGGGAGGACGGCGACGATAGCGGGTAAGGCTTGAATACTACACGGGGTCGGGTGGGTTTGCATGTTTGACTGCATAGGTTATGTGGTGCGTTACATATCGGCTGACACAGCCATCTTTTAAATGCCGGTTTGCAATTTGAGACTCTCTGGTTCGTTTTTCACCACGGTGTGGGTCCTTTTTTTTATTGATGCATGAACCAACACCGCGAAACTCGGCGCGAGGCAATGGGCACTCCACCTTGCTGCTTCCTTCGTCGTTTCAACCGTGAACTGCTTAGACTCAACGAAAATGACTGCGACTAGTATCCCCAACCCCCCCCCCCCCCC